TATTTTTTTTTAATATACATTATACAAGTAATAAGCATTATTTGCTTTTCTTCAGTGCTCCCCCCTCCCCCTTGCCATTATTTTATTCTTATGGCTGAGTTCTTCCTGACATGTTAAATGATCTAGTAGGTATATTTGCCACACAAATTAAAGTCTTTTAAGAGTACATTTTTTCTCCCGATATGCATAAAAACAGAATGGTCCACATTAAAAAATATATATTTTTTTAAAAGAAGCCTACTTTAGATAAATGAAATTTGTTTGACCTTGGAACCATTTGGAAAAAAAAGATTGTTTTCTAAAATAGATTTTATTTTAGATAAATAATATTACATGATTAGGTAGGTTCACTCTATTCTATATAATATTACTAAATAAATACCAGATCTCAAGCCTTTCAATACTTTCTTGAGTTTCACAGGTTAAATCTTACCTATTGATATGAGTTCAATAGATAGAATTTTTGTATGTGTGCACATGTTTGGTACCATAAACAACAAATATTAAGATGTGTTGTTTTTTTTGGTGGACATCATTTACTATAGGGAAAATATTCTCTTATCCTGTTATTTGTGTTCCTAGTTAAGAGCAAAAAACAAACCCACCACCTGATAGTTGTGCATACACGGACCACTCTATTATAGCAACAAGTTACAGTGGGTAGCCTTTGCCTTTACTATTTTAAATTCAAAATTTCAAATATGCTTACTAAACAATATAAATTAAGGTTTTAAGTACCTGCATAGGTATTTGCAAATATTTTAAATATTCTTAATACCTGTATTATAAGCAAATTTGAGTTTTAAAAAATTAATTAAAGTAGCTTCTGTACTCAAAGTCAAAGTTTAAGTTTATATTATTTCCCGTTTGGCTTGAAGCATTTTCTTTAATGTTAACTGCTGCTTGAGAGGAAGAGAGTGGGGAGAAGGTCTGGCTTTGGTTCAATCAACATTTAGTGATGTCAATTCAAATTGCAGGTGATGAATAGAAATGTTTCATTGGAAGTATGCACACTATTTGTCAGGAGGAAATGACAGGAGTTGATAGAAGGTACATTCAAAGAGAAATTATTTCAAATGTTAAACTCTTAAATTAAATGAACCAAACTAAATAAGCATTTTCTGTTCCTAAAAGATTGCGTTCTTCTTTTGAGGATTAACAATATTTCTAAAATATTTTTAAGTTGTTTTTTTTGGGGGTGGGGGGGGGGGTTTACTCTGCCCAACTAAATACAAATCCTCACATTAATTTGGGGAAACTTGTTCTTTTACTGATGTATAATGGTGCTATCATTTCTATGGTATATTAGGCTACTTGCTACATTCTTTATAGCCACTTAATAAAAGACGTGGCATAGGAGTGATACGTACATTTAAAACAACTATACTTTGTCACATAAAAACATTTCGAAGTGACATCTAATTTTTCTCAAATTGTTAGTGTATCTGTTTTTGTCAACTCCAGGTCAGCTGTGGGAGAGGGTGTAATAATGTACCAAACTGGTGTCAGATTATTTGATGCATATGTTTACTGATCTTAGCTTATGCTCTGGTACCTTTTATTTGTGCTTTAGGTATCGTAGTCTTGCCTTGCACCTTACCTGAATGTTTTATCTCTCCCTTGACCCAGCCATCAAGTAAAATAAATCACAACACATAGAAGCAAACCACATTTTTTTTTTCCTATTTCTACTTTTATGAATTATTTAACTTCAGGATTTTTTATTCTCTCTAATAATTTGTTTATATTATTTCTTTCTTCAGTCATTTAATAATTTTCTGAGAAAAGCCATTTGATTTTAGCTTAATTATATTCAGAACTTTGTTATACTATACCTAAAAAAAAATGTTGGCCTTTAAATTTCAAGAAATCAAGATGGATATCTAAGTTTGCACATTAGTTTAAAATGGAAGTAAGTAAAAATGGATATCTAAGTTTGCAATTTGACTTAAGTTCTTCTCTTTACCTTCAAATCAAATTAATATTATCTCAGAAAATGGTACAGACTATGAATAACTAATCATGGGTTAAATAGTTCTGGCTACCTGGTACTTTAGATTAATAAGACTTTAAATTAAATGAGCTTTAACTTGGCACTCAGGATTGCTCCAGATATTTATGATACATTCAGCTTAAGCAGATATGTTAAAAAGTTCAACATGTGGAATGGATTTCAACAAAATATAAAATTTCAACCTATGAAAAGCTAAATATAGTTTATAAAGTATTTGAAATTTATGAATCTCAGAAACTGAGAAAGTAACATCTTAAAGATCCTATTTAAATTTTTAAAAACTACTACATAACAACATGTACTTTTAAAAAAAAGAGACAACTTTGACTTTATTTGTAGTTTTTATGATGCTTTATTCATACTGATTTGTTTGAACCAGTTCATATAGGAAACAGCACTTAAATATATATTTGTGTTAGTTTTTCAATAAAATTCATTTCAATAAACTCCTATGATAACAAAGTTCTAAGGGAGTCTCTGACTGAATGAGAGTATGTAAATTGAAAAATCTTGTATTAAAAGTAACAAGTGCCTCACCACACTTTCTTTTTTACATAAGAGATCTTTTTTACTATCAATTGACACTGTAGAAAAAATATAAGTTACCTACCATTACTTACTGTGTCAACATGTTTATTGAGGACTTGATTTGACTTTATCATAAGACAACTAAGTAAATAATTTTCATTGCTAATGAATTTCTTTGTTTTAGAAAGAGTTACAAAGTCTTTATAAATATCCTTAAATTTACTAACTTGTTTTATGTAGAATACTTTTGACATAGTACTGTACTACAGTAGTATTAGTATTACAAGAATTAAATTTTTTTATTTAGAAGTAAGTAACAATTTTTTTTCATAAGCCTCATTAAAAAGATAATTGGAAGATCTTTAAACATGTAACACATTTCAATCTTGGTATAAATACTACCACTAGTTATGGTCCATGATAAAGAGGTCCTATTTTCCATAAAGCATGTTTCAATTTTAGGTGCCTTGTCAAAATATTATTTTAAAATCATTATTAACTTGAAATTTTTAACTAAAAAAAAAAGGCATTGCTATCTTAAACTTTAAAAAATGTCAGTTGGTTTAAATGGCTAAGTGCGGCCTGAAACCTACTGATAAGCCACACATTAACAACTGTTTTAAAAAATGCTCTTAAATCAGAAATAAATTACTGTTCCTGTAGTTTTTGATTGCCTATGCTTCCTGGGACTACAGTCGAAGATAAAAACAAATTCGAGATGTAATGGTAGCTTTTTTTTTTTTTTTTAAAGTCAAATTTTTCTTCTAAAAATTTATTTTTATGGTGAATTCTGGGAAGGAATTAGGTAGAAACTGTTGGTATAATACAGCAATTCTCAACCTGTGGGTGGCGACCCCAATTACTGTTCCTGTAGTTTTTGATTGCCTATGCTTCCTGGGACTACAGTCGAAGATAAAAACAAATTCGAGATGTAATGGTAGCTTTTTTTTTTTTTTTTAAAGTCAAATTTTTCTTCTAAAAATGTATTTCTATGGTGAATTCTGGGAAGGAATTAGGTAGAAACTGTTGGTATAATACAGCAGTTCTCAACCTGTGGGTCGCGACCCCTTTGGGGGTCGCACAACCCTTTCCCAGGGGTCGCCTAAGACCATCAGAAAACACAAATACTCTACAGCTTTGACGTAGCAACGAAAATAACTTTGTGGTTGGGGGTCGCAGCAACAATGGGAACTGTATTAAAAGGTTCGCAGCATTAGGAAGGTTGAGAACGACTGCTATAATACATGATAGTGGTAGTCAGAAAAGTAAAAATGAAGATAATGTAGTTTGAGCCATATTAAGCTTTTTTTTTTTTTTTTTTTTTTCATTGTTCATGGGTTGAAGATTTTAAACCACTTTTTTTTTTTTCTCTTCTGTTAACATTTTTTTTGTTTTTTTCCTTTACTCCTCAAGTTTTTAAAAAGTAAAAATGAAGCTAATGTAGTTTGAGCCATATTAAGCTTTTTTTTTTTTTTTTGTTTACATTGTTCATGGGTTGAAGATTGTAAACCACTTTTTTTTCTTTCTCTTCTGTTAACATTTTTTGTGTTTCTTTCCTTTACTCCTCAAGTTATTCATGTATAGTGTATGTAAAATGTATTAGCCATTTATTTGAATTAATTCCTCTATTATTCATAGTCAGGAACATATCACTGGTCAGTGTTTTAATTTGCTTACACAGTTGTCCAGTGTGAGATTTTAAAGTGTAAATAAATCACTGATCTTTATTATAAATTATTTTTTCAAGTCTACTCTTCAGAAAATATGGTCACAAACAAAATATTTGACAAGACCATTGGAAAGTTTGTTTTTGTTTTTTTTTTTGCAGTTTTTTTGTCTAAAAATACATTTAGTGAATGTTGTCACTTTTTTGATAATGTAGTTGCCATGACTTTGCTGCAAGTACATTTTTTGCTGAGAAGTGCTGAGGGTTATGGGCTGGAAAGGGGTGGGGACAAAACTGCTTATGTTAATGATTGTCAAATGCTTGTGACAATGTTTAGTCTGTCTCTGCTAACTGAGAAAAATAAAAAAAAATTCTAATATGGAAAACCTCAACAGGTTCATGGTAGAAATAAAACAACCAGTGTTCTGGTGCATACAATTCTTACAATTGGTAATTTAAGTTTTTTCTCTATATTTCTTATTGTTGTACTTTTTGTTTCTGTTGCCATGATTTGTTAAATTTACATTCTAAAAATGTTAAGGAGATATTAACACAACAAACGCTAACAACTAACATTAAAGAAATGTACTTCAACGTATATCGTAATATAGGTAAATTTATATAAACTAAGTTTCCTTGCTCCTGTATAACTTCAGTTCTAATGTTCTTGAACCAGACAAGTTAATGTGTGAAATTTAGGAACTTAATGGTATGATACTGTTACCTGGATTATTTCCATTATTTTCAAATAAGTGGCATCAATTTCAATCAAAAGATACTGTAAGAAATTTACAAATTACAATCATTTTAGATATAAAAACAAACAGAAATTTAAGATTTTTGCAATTCAATTTTATTGGGTACTGTGCAGGTAAGTCACAGTGTGGCATATAGTTGTAAATGCTTGCAATTAAATCTTTAGATACTCTAAAGGGGTTTATATGTAATATCATATCAGGAACAACATGCACTTGCTTTTTTACTTGCTAGAAAGCAATTATACTTATGAGTTTGTATTCTGATAAACTCTTATTTAACCTAAATGTGTTGAAAAATATCATTAGGGGCTAAGTCAGTACTTGGAAATAAAAAACACCAGCCAAAGTAAATGCTTCAACATTACCCAAGAAGTTAAACTATTAAAACATAGAATATGCCAAAGAATTGAAAATCACATTTTCAAGACTTCCACATGACATTGTAGATACAAGGGTGAGGTCTTTGGCAGTCTTAGAGCAGATTATTTTAACTCTATGACAGTAAGAGTCCTTTATTTAGAAGACCTCGAAAAAAGGATATGCTGCTTTCTCTGGCTCTATCAGATCTAACAGGAAACAGACAGTTCCTGCAAGCCCTTCATAGAGGCTGTAAGGACTATCTGGAGTTCTCGCCCCTGATTGAAATTGATCAGTGAATAAGAAATTAGCAAACTGTTGTGCTCTATGTAAATGCTTTTTGTCTTTTGTTAGTCTGTAAAGCAACAGGAAGACATACCTGGAAAGAAATAATATTTTTGTATCAAATTACATTTTTTGTAGATTTTTCCCTAACTGAATAGGATATTCTTCAATTAACAAAAAAAAGTTTGCTTATTCTAGATTTTTTTGGAAAAGTTTTTCATTAAAAAAAAAAAATATTGAGCACATCAGACTTAAGCATACTATATAACCTCATTGGTGGGGAAGTACTGCTGTGGACATTGGAATTACGGTAAATCCTAGATACATTATGCACATAACAAGGTAATTGCTCACTGAAAAAACTGCTTTATGAAAATGTACTCAATTATGTTAACACCCCACCCCCAAATATAAAAATTTAAACATTGGAAAAATCATTGTAAAGTCTTCTGATTATTCTCAAATGTATGTTAGCTTCACTTAAATAAGAGGCCATGCTTGTTTGATTCTTAAACTCTTTTGACCAAGTAATGAGTTGCAAGGTATTCTTATTCAACACGGATAGCAAGCTAATTTCAAAACAAGTAATACTCTTCTTCAGGGGATAGTAATTAATAATTTAAAGGAAAGATTAGTTCACCAAGGTCATTAAGCATGTGATTCTTAGTAAAAAGCTTTGTCCCTGTCAGTTTTGGACCCCTTTATTCAACATCAAAGTTGATAGTTTATCTTGCGCTTGTTGTTTTTCAAAGTGAAACAAAATTATAATAAAAGTTAAACATTTCAAATTATTTAATGGTTCACTTCAGATGACCGGTAACACAGAACTTTGCATATTGTGAAATTTTTTATCAGTTAAGGGCAATCAAGCAAAATAACAGTATGATTGTTATGGTGAATTCTAACAAGCTGAGGTAATGAGCCCTGTTTTTTCACAAGGTAATCATATTTTAAAGCCCATTTTAAGACGAAATTCAAGCTCTTTTCAGTCTATCAATTTCTATCTGTCTGTGGTTTCCTGACTTCTCATGCTCCTCAGAAGTCTTTAAGTATCATCAACTGCTGAAGCCTTTGACAATGGCCTCATTATTGTCTCACCCAACAACTTGCAACCACAAAAGTACACAACATCCTGCTGTTTGGAATACACGAGCCATGCTCAGACCATCGTTTCTCCATTTGGCATCATTTTAGAATAAAATTCTATACTGAATCTGAATTTTTTTTTTTTTTGGAAATTTGTAATCATTTACTTGGACAGCTCCAAGTTTCATAATAAATATGTTAACCATCGAATATACTTTTTGGCCAAGATGCAGGTGTAAGGGTTAAAGCTTGGGGTCCTTGAGACACACTGCAGACAGCAATCACGATCTGATCCCTGCACTCTCCATTCCTTTGAGCAAAATGTAGCAACTTGTGGATTTTCTTCAAACCTACTCATTTCTTGTTTGGTGTTGCTTCCATCTTGGTCACCTAAGATGTCTTCAGCCTCTATATGGCTTGTGGCACTTTGGAATCAGGTTCCGATGGGAATAATTCAAATAAATTAGACTTTTGTTTCAATGGAAATCATCTGAGTCTGATATTATTGTGATAACAATAAAGCTATGAAATTTAAGGTCGATTTAATGATGTAGTTAGACAGTCTTTAAGTTTGCTACCCACCCCCTAAAAGAAAAACGGAACAATACATATAACAAAAATCACCCAAAGTCGCACCAAATCTGTAAAAACCATTTTTTTAAAAGCTGTTTTTTGGCATTGTGCTGTATGTTAAACCCTTTTATTTGTCAGTTAAGTATACAGTGAATAGGCTGAAAGAAACTTATTTTTGCAAAGTTCCAAAAAAACATCTGACAGAGAAACTATATTTTCTAATTCACCAATGAAGTGATAAGCACACATTATCCAAACAATTTACATAAATGCCAGCTGGTTTTCATTCTCTAAATTCTATTATGTACCCAAAGCCTACAGGTGGATATTAAAATAATTCATTGACATTAACATGGTATTAATCAAATAATATCCTACTGATGTTTCTCTCTTTCCCTCTATTTCATCTATTTTCTTATTGTTGTGTGTTTATGTATCCCTGGATATTCTGGTCCATTATTATTGTAGACCTCATTTTTCACAGTGTCAATATTTATATTCTCTCGCTTCTTGTGTTCCCCCTTCCGACGACCACAATGGATATTTCTTGAGTTGTTTACTGTGCTCTGTTCTTTGTGATATTTTCATTTCTACTGTTAGCTGAAGAAGGCTTTATGCCGAAACGTCCTTATCTTTTTGTCCTGTTCTCTAAATCAAGCTTCCACATACCTAGTTTTGCTATTTCATTCATTTACTAGGCTTGAATACAGTCCTTTTTATATTTTTTAGGCCTAATTAAATTATTTATCATAAAAGGCTGCATTGCAAGTTAATCTTGAAAAAAGTCTGCTTGTCATGAGTTCTAACTTTCGGCAGCTGAGTTTTTTTATTCTTACTTCTATTAATTTATTTTAACTTGTGTTCTTTTTTTCGTCCAGGTGATTTTTTTTAGCTAACTGATTTGTTGTTGTTTTTTTTAATATTTTTTCCAGGTTTCACATACCAGTACTTCAAATGATTTTTATTTCTGTCTTCATTTTTTTCATAAAAACACAACAGTCCTTCTTACACGGACTCTTGATGCCAACGATAGTTTTGGCAGCTTATTGTATTTCACTTTTTTCTCCCCATATTTCTATGAACTTGGTCTGAATAAAAGGCTATACAATTTAGACCCATTTTTTTTCAGTTCCAATGTTAGATCAACATAAAAGAAGAAGAAGAAAAATTGTGTCTCTTTGGGTTTTTTTTATCCCCCATGTCCCCACCTTAAAAAACGTTCTTTTCATTGCTGAAAATGCAACTCCTTAAAAGTGTGGGCTCCTCATCCCCCCTCAACTAAGTGTGGGCTCCTCACCCCCCCCCAACTAAACTTCGGGGGGGGGGGGGGGAGAACGTGAAGCCCCCTTTGACAAATGTAAAGCTTGTGATTAGCAAGATGATAAGCAGACAGTATAAAATATATTTTCTAATTTTTAAATAGAGCCACAATAGTCAAATATGTAACTATTCCATGCAATTTAAAATAAATTCTTTAGAATTTTTTTTCCAAATCACAAATTTGGGCTCCTTAATAAACCAAGCCCCTTGCAGTCACAGGGATTTTAGGGCCCATGCAACAGCTCTAGACAAGAAATTAATTACTAAAATTAAAAAATCTTAATTCTGCAGTAGCAACTATCCCAAACCTTATTTCTATGAGTAACAAATCCCATCCACCCCTAACAAATTAAAATACTCACCCACTCCCTGCTATGCCATGACAAATACCAGGTCCCTTAGTCAGAAGTCCTCTTTGCCAGGTAAGCTCACCACATTTAAGACATGCTTGGAGATATCTTTCATCTCGCCATATCAGGTATGCCTTGGCAAATAAGTAGACAATGCCTGGCAGATTATTTGATAAAACATCTTAAGTGAATATTATTGTAACCACCGGTACATAAAACTAAAAAAAGTGCTAAAATTTTTAATAAATATTTTATGTCCATATCTATTACTGTAATTTCATCTGATGGTACATGGAGCTTTAATTAAACAAGGGATCAATTGCAAAAAAAATATGTACAACAACCTACTACAAATTTTGAAACACTCCTTTATTCACCTGGAGCGCCATGGCACCAATGAACAAGTTCTTCTTTTTCTGGTCGTGGATTAGACACTTCATCCAAGGCAGGAGCAAAATTTCCATTTGGTTGTTGCAAACTAAGAAGCCAATCAACAGCCTGTCTAACTTCTTGGGCACCTTTCCTATCAGACTCTAGAAAGGAGGGACAGCTCAGTATCATTTGTAAAATAGATGATATTCCATGAGCAGCACCTGAATGAATGAAAAGGATAGATTATATATTTCATATTTTAAATAAGTTTTAGTACTAGTACAATATGAAATTTTTTAAATACTAAATTTTATTACTGGTAGTTTTACATTTACAATCAAAACTTGCTGTTAAACTAACTGTTTGATCTATCCTTTCTAATTAAAAAAGTCATCAACACAAATATTATTTTATTGAAAATCTACCAAGAAAAAAATTAAAAAATTGATATTACTTAAAATATTAGCCTGACATACCCAAATAAACTGTATCATAATAAGCATACAAAAGTGGAGCATCTGTTCTAAAGCGCTGAGCAAACTCTTTGCCAGATCTCACCATAGTGGCACAAATGTCATTGATGGTGGCATCATCTAGAATCTATCAAATTTTAATTCAGCTCTCTATATTATCATTTTAGAGTTGGTATTTCTAAGACATTTTAAAAGCTTGTTGATTCCAGTTTTTAATATATTTTGACTGCAGTATACATGTAAACTATAAATATTATAACTGTCTATCATAAAAATGCACTCATTAAAAATTTCAGTCAAATAGTAACGGTCTTTACTGTATGGTATTAAATAAATTAATTACTTAGTTTAACAAAATGTGACTATGCTATTTAATAAAAAATATAATTCATATAATTTTTAGACCCACCTTTGTTCCAAATTTTTTCTCTAATGTCAGTGCACCGCACAAATAACCAGCACGACCAACAAATAGTTCATCTGAGCCACATGAGAGAAACTTTGGCTTTAAGCATTCTTTAGCACATGCCTTATAAAGCCTAATGTTATCTTGTATGAGAGTTTCATTTTTTAAAGAATTTCCTAAATAGATACCCAGAGCATAAATTCCTGCAGGACCAAGAAGAAAAGAGGCTTCGTCAGCCTTTGATGATTTTTCTTTGTACGTAAATTTTAAGTCACGATCATAGAGTGATTTTGCCATATGAAGATATGTTATTTTAGAGTCATGAAGGGGTTCATAGTCTGCAGCATAGCAAAGCATATATGCCACACCAGCACTACCAACATAGAGTCCACCATCCGATGATACAACTGTTGGAACAGCATCTGTTATAGCTTTTATGAGGCTGACAATTTGATCAAGCCATTTATCCTTCACAATATCCAACTCAAGACCAGGACTATAATCTTGCAGCTTGTTTGGAAAATATCGGGATTTGGGTTTAGACATTTCTAGGAATATATGAGGAAAAAAAACAGTCAATTATTTATATAATTTTTTAAAGTTTTAAAATAAAATGTAAATTCATTGAAAAAAGCATTTCCATTTCTATTGTAATGGTAGCCTACTATTTACCATTGGCTGGATGCAACAAACTAAACAAAAATTGTGTCAAAATGGCTTCATGCATATTTGTGCAATGACGTGAACTGATTAATCAATGCCTAACCTTATTATTGTGGAAAATGTACCCATGCACTGACACTTTAAATAGTCCGTTCAATTATCTTTCATTTGATACATCATTTTGTCTTAAAAACCCAACATTAAAATTTTAAACAGTTTTTTAATCCCAACCTCTCACTTCTGGTACCCGGGTACGAATAGCCACTTCGTTACATTATTTAATAGATTTGAAAAGGGCTGGACAAATTTTAAATTTTAAACTTCATAACTTACCTGAATGATTTTTATAGAGATCGGTAGCCTATCGGGATCCAACGAGATCGGGATCCCACTGGGATCAAGACACCGACGGGATCGGGATCCCACTGTGATCTGGATTCCCCTTGGATCTGGAGCCACAAGAAAATGGGATCCCACTGGGGACAGGATCCCACTGGGGACGGGATCACATCGGAAAAAGGGATTGGGATTGGGCCGGGATCAGGGTCAGAATGGGATTCGGGACCCAATGGGATCGGGGTCTTACCAGGATTGGGGTCCTAATGCAATCCTGTGCAACGCCGGGTATATTGGCTAGTATATATATATAAAAGTGAATGTTTGTTTGTGGGTTTGATCCACAAAGGTTTTTACATGGATGGATGGATCTTGACCAAACTTGGCACATATATCCATCATTATCCGGAAGGAACTCTTAAGGGGTTATTAACTTTTAATAACATTCCGTGTGGGGCCGGGGGCCCAAAATGTCTTTTTTTCCTATAAGAACTATGTAAATAAAATTACTAAAAAATACTGCTACATGAATGGATGGATCTTGGCCAAACTTAGTACACATACACTTGATTATCCATATTCAAATACTCATAATATCCATCCCTCTGGGACCGAGGGCCCCGTTTTATTTTTTCTTATATAAACTATATAAATATCAATAGGCTTTTACAACAATATAGGTTCTATGTGAATTGATGGATATACGCCTAGCCTGGTAGCAATACACTTCATTGTCTGTATTTAAATACCGGCATCGGTGGATTTAAAACTAAGAATATCCAATCTAGAATTTTCCAGAAAGTTTGATAACTTTAAAAAGATATATCAATGGCATTTTAAACCGATTTTAATCGGACAAATTTTAACTCCATAATTTATCTGAATGATTTTTATGTGGTTCCCCATCTCAGGCAAAAGGTATTTTGGAATCCCCTCTTTTAGCTTAAATTTATAATATCTATAGCAGTGCATTTAGTTCTATAATTTTTAGATATAAAAAAATAATGACTTAGGCCTATAGATATCGGGATCGCAATACCGACAGAATAGGTATCATACCGGAATTGGGCTCAAGAGGGATCGGAATCCCATTGGGAACTGGTATACTATCAGCAGCGAGATACCGACGGGATTGGGAGCCCAACGGGATCGGAATAATTATAAGGCTGTAGAAGTTCCTTCATTCCGAATGCTATCCCGGCAAATGCCGGGTATATCTGATAGTGATTAATAAACCATTTTGTAGGTAATTGAATTGTCTATAAGGTGAACTTAAAACATTTGTAAAGTTAAGTTTTGTTGTGAAATTATTAATTTTTAAATTAGTATTTACAAAAGAGAAACTATTTAAAAAATATTAATTGCACCAACTTAGGTATAAATTATAGTAGTTTATATGGCCCCTGTACAATTGTTTTAGTTTTCATTTTTTAATTATTTCTATCCTTAAAAACTAAAAGTGGTAAAACCAAGTTTACTAAGTAAAGGAAAATTAAAGGATAATACTATGATAGGCTGAATAGGCACATGAGGAAAAACAGGATAGGGGGAAGCGAAGAAAGACAAAACAATGCAATGGATTTATCAATTATGGAAGCCTTCTACTTCTAACTTGTCGACAGCACTTTTTAACTTTATCACGTTACCGTTATGATTATGACTTTAACTTCACTTACTACTTAGCTTTCGTTGTCAACTTTTCAGTTCATACATTCAACATTCTTAAGTTAAGTTAAACTTTAATTCAATAAAAAGCCCAAATAACATAACTAATACAATACTATTTATTAACACATACTTAAATTGACATTTTTAAAAGATTAAAATTAAAAAGTAAAAGTCTAGAAGATGAAGTGATGAAGTTGAGTTAGGCATCATTTATTGTTAAGTAATCTTAATCAGTAATGCTTAGTCTTTACTCTTACTTGCTACTTAGTCGTGCATCAAAGACACACCAGACTGGGTGGAGGAAATAATATAAAAATGCAACTGGATTTCAAAGATTCAATTTACCTTTAGCCTTTAACTTGTAACTTTTAAGATTTTTTGTTGTTTTTGTTTGTTTAATTATCCTTTAGTCTTAACCGACGGTTACTTAAAGTTTACTCTTGTTTATAACGAAACAAATTCAAGAAGGCTACATCCTATGCCTATGACTATGACTATGAGGCCTAGGCCCCTGTTATCAGATCTGATTTGGCGTAATGAGTATACTATGACGACTATGACTGTTAATTAATACCGGTACTTAACCACCGGTTATAAAAATAACAAAAGCTATCAATTATCAATAAACCATTTCACTTTATCTTTAACACAAATTAAACATTAGTTATCCCACGCCGCACGCCCTTAAATGCCCATATCAATGAGTTGAGTATAATTACTATAGTATGAGTAGAGAGGAGAGGTGGTAATTTAAAGAAGCAATTTTATATTAAAATCTACTAGATTATCTAGCGTCATAGGATTTTTGGGCCCCGAGCAAATCCAAATTTTGGCCCGGCCCCCCCCCACCCCCCCCCAAAAAAAAAATTCAAAATAATTGTATCACAAGTTTTGTGAATTTTACAAAAATTATACTTTATTGACATAATACTACTACAAAAGCATTTTTTCCAATTAAAAAAAAAATGTGTTTGTTCAAACGACGACACTTGAAACGAAGTGATTATAGGCAGATTTCGGTCTGCCGATAACGCTCGGCATTATTCGCAGAGCTATGCGGATAACGCTTCAAGTCGCTTCCCTTGTTCAAATTCATCGTCTTAAACTTTTGTTGGGGGAATTTGAAACCAAAGATGCTGGTTCTTTGGTTCTCTCTTGAAGTTGAAGACTTGAACCATAACTGGTCTCATACAATTTTAACTATTTAATCTTGAAATCGAGTTCACAATTAATTTTACACGCAGTTTTTCACCTCTAGTTTCAAATATCTGGTACGTACATAGGCGTAGTGAAGGGGGGCATGGGGGCAGATGTCCCCGGGCGCCAGCTAATTAGGGGCGCAAAAATATGCTTTGATATTATTTTATTGATGAAAATAATGGGTTTAAGAGTCGAAAAAAGAAAAGGGGGCACTTTAAAATGAATCTTGTCCAGGACGCCAAACACTCTCACTACGCCTCTGGGTACGTAGTTGCCTATCAATGGACGCAAAGAAAAGAAAAGTCCGACCTTGGGGGGGGGGGCATGCCATGGCCATGCGGGCAAGGCCCGGAAAGTTGCGTTGGCCTCTGTACGGCCCTGTATGCATAGCTAGATCTCGTCCCTCTTGGTGGGCTAATATTTTTGCCACTTCCTTTAAATTCCTCACAGGAAAAAAATTTAAAAATCTGCAGTTGGTTAAAAATGTCATCCCTCCAGGGCGGGCCACCCACCTTTCTACACCACTAATAGCCTAATCCTTTGGAAAATTGATTTATTTAGAAATGTCTATATATTATTTATAATTGTGTTTTTGTGTTTTTTTAATTATTACCATATTTTATTTTTATATTCTGTATTCTTATATATATACGATTGGGGTATCGTGTATCAATTCCTTCTTCACTCTGATCTATTTTCAAGTGTCTGTAAATTTTGTACTATTGGGAGTTCATACATAGAATAGATTGAGAACTAGAATACATATAAATGCATTAAAGCTAGTTTTATTTAGGCCACCATTATAATAATGTATGGTAATGCCCCATCACACTAGTTCCCAAATGTTTCCCAAAGGTTTTTCCCCAAGGCGCCATGTGTCGAATTCTTTAGTCGAACTAGTCTGTTTTCACTGCGAAAAAATAGCGATTCTAGATCTATTTGTAGAGGCTTCTGCAATCAGTTTTTACTTTTACTAAGTGGTGCCACAGCGCACACATTGGGAACCACTGCTCTATTTTTAGTATGCCTATTTAATTTAAAAAAAATATATATATATATCAGCTAACACTGGAAGCACTTATTAAGTTTGTTTTCAGCAGAGATTTTCAGGCACCGCAGAGGAACCACCACTGGTAGTGAGACGTTAGTTACAGTGCTGGCCTGCAGTTTATTATCATGGCCTACTGTTGGGGACAAAATCAATAACCTTATTAAACTAATTTATTCACTCTTATTTTTAGAAGGTTTACCTCATGCCACAAGACTATGTATAAAGAGACGTCGGTCTCATTATTATGATTCATGATGATGAAGGCTTTCTGATACCGAAAATTGAATTATTATGGAAGACAAACACTGCTTCGCGGAATATTTCTCTAGTTAATATTATTTTATTGAAATAATCTTGAACACAGGTTAAGTTTCAAGAATTTCCGTGAGTTGAATTAATTACAATAAAATTCTAAGTCAAAACGGATTCGAAATTAACGTTATATTCTATGCGCTAAATAATGCACACTCCCTTTTGCAATTATAGATGCAAATTACATGCAATTTAGTAACAAGTCTGCTGTCGTGAAATTCATGCAGCCAAAGGACCTCTAGAATTGGCTCATCAATCCAGTAAGTATTATTCAACCGATACACTTTGTATTATTCAAATATGTGTTCTTATTATATCTTAATAGATTGTTATTGTTTGTCATTGCCGAAAGCTTAATGCATTTTTTTCTTTTCCTACAACAGTACAACTATATTGTCTATATACTTTCATACAAATAATAATTATGACAGTACAGTAGACGATAGACAGTAGTACGAGTCTGAGTATACCGAGTATGCAATCAAATTTGAAGTTAAGAATTGCAGAGAGGTAGTAAGACTACTATTACAATCAAAGCGTGTAGTGTTTTATTGTGTAACGAGGCCAAGTTTGTTCTCCGACAACACTCAGCTGGACTTAAAACTAAATAGTAAAAGTAATTCTTTAAAGAGATATTATTAAAGTTAAAGGCAATATAAAGTAAAGGCATTATCATTAAAAATAAAGGGGTCAAGATTTTAGAAAATCAAAGTCAAAGCTAATATTAATAATTAAAATATGACTAACTAAGTAACAGTTAGGCAGTTAGGCTATAAATTTAAATTATTATGTCATATGTAAAAGGTAATCATAATCATATAATAATAATATGCCTTTACTTACATACACATTTACTGACTTTGCTGTTATACTCTACTACTAACTCTAAGGTCATCTTATGCTGAAAGTAAGTAATAGGGCGGGCCACTGCCTAACTGTCTAACTTTAAGCATTATAGTTATAGCCATACAACCCGTTTCTTACATTAGTCCAAGGATCTTACCTAGACTTAGGCTATCATACTCATACTACATGGTATGCATATGTAGGTATACTAATACTATATATGATATATGAGAATATAAAATATAACTATTTTTGAAACAATCTTAAATTTAAGTTTTTTTGTAGTATCCATTTCCATATTCTCAAATTACATTTTAAAATTGACATGGGGGTCATCCATAAAGGACATAACGCTAATTTTGACTAATTTTAACCCCCCTCCCCCATCACCACAAATCGTCACAAAAAGTTAGACCCCCCCCCACCCCCCCCCCCCCCCCATCCATCCATCTATCACCTACTGTTACTTACAAACCCTTACAAAAAGCACATCACATAAATTTCGAATTAATGCACCTGTGCCAGAAACATTTCCCTAGAAAAGGGATTCTGAAACAGGGGTGAAAGCACTATAAGTGGTTAGAAGACCCATATCCTCATTTGCTGCCATTGCTAGTTGTTTCTGCCTTTAAAAGTAAAATCAGTTTTTAGGCATTTTTGAATAAGGAGCAGTAAATGTTTTTTCTGGTGAATTTTGTGTGTGCATTACTTGTATTGTTATTTTTTTTTACTTCTAACTAGAAAGTTAAACTAATAAAATGACAATAAATAAATTATTTAAAAATTTTCATTTTTAAAATCTAATTACTATTTAAATTATACGGGGGTGGGGAGGATTGCGGGATATGTTTAGAAGTTGAGATGAGATGCATCAATGTGAAAAAATTAAGAATTCCTGGCATAGAACATTTAATAAAAATCCCGCCCCGCCCAACATTTTTCGTTCCATCTCATTCCCGTGGTAACCCAATTCTTTGAATTTTGTCTCCACATTTCGAAATAAATTCTCATGTCAAAGTCACTACACCCCGATTCTCCTCCTCTGTGGCATCCTGTAACTTAATCAGAGGCCCCATTTCTCAGAACTTGCATACTGATCCTCTCAGTGATTGTAGTTTGCAAATAAAATAATTATAATCTGTTGCATAAAAGAATAATGTTAAAAAGGTCAGTAAGTTAGTGTTATTAGGTGCATTTTTTTACTATAATGTTGTGCTTTCATTGTGAATCACATTGCTTTCCCCCCCCCCCCCCGCAACTTCATCATACATCATCACAAAAATGCTCTCCCCCAGATGCGTGAGGCTATTTATGGATGGCCCCTAGATTTCTTCAGATATTTAAAGATTACAGAATATATTCAAGTGGAAAAGGTAATTTTACAGTTAGTCCAGATCCAATTTAGATGGTAAAAATAGTTTCTGGGCTCCAATAAAGTGAAGTTGCTAATAAAAAAAGTATTTAAGACATTTATAGCTTACTGAATGGTCAAAGTGACACAGCAAGAGAACGGAAGTTCACCTTGTTCCATAAATTGTATGAGCACCACAAGACAAATATTTTGCATAAGTGATGACAAAATTAATTTCTATTTCCTATCTATTATTATCTACATGAATTTTTAAAATGGGAAAAAAAAAAATTTTCTGAACATTTGACGATCTACTGGAGAATAAAAAAATTCTAGATATATTATTTTCTCATCCTACCACATTTCATGTCCTAGGTCTTCACTTCATGTGCAAGCTAGGAATATATTTGAATTATGCTAATAAATTTAATATAAATTAATGATGCACAATAATGTTTTATATTAATTTTCAGACACAATTCATTACAAGGTTGATGACACCCATTCAAGATATTTAAAAACAAAAAGATAATGTATTGAACATTGTTTTACTGAAAATTTTAAGATGGAATCCAACAAAGCAAAAAATTGTGAATCTACCGAGGGACCAGTAGGATCCTCGCTAGTTACTACTTCTTCATTACCTACTGGGATTGTACAACTTTCTCATTCTGCAGCTGCAGTTCTTCCATTAGGCCCTATTACAGGTCCAGGGTCAGGATGCCTATTGCCATTGTCAATCATTAATCCTGCCCAAGTGTCAACAATGCATCATCAGCCAGTAACCACAGAACCTTTGCTCCTGGTACCAGCTTCAGCTTTGTCTTTGGCTACTACATCGAATCTCTCTTTGCCTAACTCTTTACTAAATACCAAAGTGCATCCATCAACATCGTTACAATATGGTCAACAGTTGCTTTTAAATAATGCACAGTTACCATTGGTGCTGAAGCCCCCAGTCTCTGCTATTCAGCTAAGCCAGCCCCTTCAGGCACAAGCTGGGAGTCAGTCAATTATTGTTTTACCTCTTGGAACAAATGAAAACAACCTTGAGGCCAAAGAAAAAAACTCAGATATGAAGAATAGGCCTGAAAATGTCAGTGCTGACTCAACATACCAGCAGAATCAAGCCAAAAAATGGAGGATAGCTCATAGAAAAAACAAAAGAAAGAGACGCACAATTTCAGCAATCTGTTCTCTTCGTGAAAAACTCAAAACAAGATCGAACTCCAGCAGTGAGATAGATGCTATAATCTCACCAAATACGGGAGTTTCAAATACACAGATTGAAAGTGAACCAAATGATGTGCTCAATGGTAAAATAAAAAACACAGAAATTTCACAAATAATATCCAGTTTACCTCCAGGTTGGCATGTGATTGGGTTCACTGGGCTGGATCAGTTCGGAAGTGCATTGCCAACACCTCTAATCCCTACCACTACAGCATCCAATCATTTCCAAATGTCCCCACTAACTTTCACCAATAGTAACTGTTTGAAAACTCCTGAAATAAAACCAAGCCTGGTCTCTGTAAACCTCAATAACACATCTCATCCAGTCGCATCTGAAGCATACGATAATTGTGCTGTGAATGATTTGACTTGCTCAGTTAAGTTAGATGATATCCCATGCACACATGTGATATCTATCAAAACTGAGTGTGCAGAGGAAGAAAAGGCCAAACCTGACAGTACATCTGATGAACAAACCGTAAAGAGAAACAAAGATAGAGTATCAAATCAACGCAAATCACGAGGGAACTCTAGTGACCACCAATCTGATAAGTCAAGACATGTGATACCTGTAACTAAACTAGACAAAAAGGCAATTGTAGAGATGGGCAACTCATGTCACATCATTCCTACATCCTATTCACATAATTCTTCTGCCATATTAAAGTCTGTATCATCAGAAGAGCAGTGGACCATTATCGGTGTAACATCCATTCCTGCTCTACCTGTATCAAATGTGCAAAGTCAAAGCCAAGCTCAATTTGGTACTGCTACCGTTACCAGTTCATCCTCAGACTCAAATCCCAGCAAAATTCAAAACCCTGAACAATCCTTAGACACAATTATATTAAAAATTCCCTTGTGTCCAACATCAATGACCCCTGCGTCACCTAGACAGAGGAGAAGAAAAGCTAATAAAACATCCATAACTAAGCACAGTCAGACTGCATCGGTTGCATCTCTTCTTCAGAGTGCAAACGCAAAGGGATATTCCAACAGAGATACACATGATTCAAGTAAGCCTGAAGAAATGAAATGGACTATAGTAGGTTTGACACAATCCTCCCTTGATCATAATGATGGCTGTATATCAGGACAACATATGCTGGAGCATAAGAACCCACCAGTGTTGTCATACAGGGCAGACTTAACAGGCATTGCAAAGGCAGATGTAAAGCCATCTAAAGCCAGTGCAGAACATGTTTTAAATAGCAATCTCTTTAATTTTGTTTCTCCAATACAAAGTACCAACCCCTTTTTGATACAGTCAGCATTCAATCAAAACCGTGCAGCCCTTGAAATTGAAAATCAAAGCATATCAAAATCTTGTGAGACAGTCCGAAATGCTGGCGTATCATCAAATGCAAACCTATTTGGTTTAAACCCATCTCAAAGCCAGTGGAAAGTTGTTGGGGTTGCTCCTCTTGGAGTTCCAGCAGCTTCTGTCACTCCTTTTTCTTCTCTTGCACAAATTGGTCCTCTCTCTCCTGTTGCGCCCGTGCCATTTCTAATTCCCACTGCATCAAATGTACCTCTACCCTGCATGGGCACAATCTCTTCCTGTAAAAGTACAGCAGCTAGTACCGTGACATCATCTGTGTCATCATCAGCATCAACTACCTCTTCAGATTGTCCTATAATCAGTCTCCAAGAAGCTTTGAGCAGCAGCGACCCGGTGATGCTATCTACTGCACCACCGGCACGTTTTACCTCAACGTCAGCATCTGACATTCAGACTCTGCAAAATCTGGCCAATCAGCACAGCCTAGATCAAATCATCCAGAATAACTTGGCCAACTTTCAAAATCCTATCAATGTTTTAAAAATCAATGAAGCCAATCAATGGAATGTTGTTGGGGTTGTGGCAAATAATCAAGTCTCATTAATAAATACAAGAAACACCTCAAATCATGGAAATATTGATCAGGACTTAATTTCTGATGAAAGCCCTCAAGACTTATCCATGAAGCCCACAAGCACCCATTCAAAAGCTAAAGATTTTTCTATCAGTGAGGATCAAAAGACAAATGATACAGTTAAAAATTCATCCATAAAACAGTCACTGGCTTCAACACCGAAATCTTCAGAACCAGAATCAAAAGTATATCAGTTTAAATGCAAAGACATGATCAAACGTCAGCAAGAGTCTGCACACATGAAAAAGAATACTGTATCAAGTCTTTTGCGCTTGAAACGCATGCAGAAAGGGGTAAAAGAAAATGGAAATTCTGAAGATGGTGATCACAGTCTTGAAAGCTCAGCCGAAGTATATGAAACCTCGTTTGAATCTGAACCAAACAAATCAAAAACAAGATCATTGAGATCTTATGCTGGTAACCGCAGTTTGTTCACAAAAACACACCCGAAGGATGATCTTGAAAAGATCAGCTTACGAAGTGGAACTCAGGTTCCCATACTTGACTACAAATCCTCTGAGGATGATGAGATGGTATCTATGACTAGTCAAAACGAACGATCACAGTTTAGCCCATTGGTCTTCTCTGAGACTGAAGAGCAGCAGCAGTGTGGAATTGCAACAGTCAAAGTAGCAGCTCATTCAGCTGCTAGGAAAAGGAAATTGAAAGTCCCAAGACGAATGGTTGCTGCTGACTTGGATTATCACCCTTTTGACAGCTCATCAGATAGTAATTAGTAGTTCCTTTCGTTAGAACTGAACGATGCCAGGCAGACAGTGCTTACATCGTACATGGTAAACTAAAGTGGCTACTCACAAGTTTGTATACTATAATAATTTTCTTTACATAACATCCAAACAGAAAAGGTCAACTATACTACAAGTGGAAGAACTAGAAGTAAAATGGCAAAAGAAATCCTCATTTTAAATTTATGGGGAATATGACCCAATGCAAATTGATGTTTTTAAAAAAATATTTAATGAATGATTTTATTACTGTATTCTTGTTAATATAGTCATTAAAATTATGTATCAAAATATACATGATAAAAAAATATACCTAAAGCTAATATATATTTTGAAATTAATTGAAATTCTAATTTTTTAAATCTAATTCCATTGTGATTATTTTAATATTCAAGCCATATTTTCACATTATTAAAATTCTGTGATTGCAAAGTTTAGTACCTACTAAATTCATTGCATTAAACAATAAAATTCTGTCAGCAATAAAGACATTTTAAAATTATTGTTTGAAACTATTTTGCACAACTGTTCATAAAGAAAATAATTGTGTATATTTCTTATCATCACATGTTGCCATTACTGACTTTGAATAACATTATAATAATATATATAATAATAAAACTATTATTTACAGTTTAATAATATTTATTTGTGGTTGATAACAGAAATGGAAGAATTACATCTTATTTGTTTAACAAGTTTTTTGCACATCTCTAGTCAAATACTGGTACAGAGTAAGACAAAATAGTTCATCATTTTTAAAGGTGTATATCTAACATAAGGGTTGCCAGATAACCTTTCCGGCTTATTGTTTTATTCAAACTTGATCCAACATAAATATATTGTAATTTATTTTTTCTAGAAATTTTTAAAATTATCCCTGTGTCCTTATTATTTTGTAAGCCCATATCTTTTATTTAATTCATTATAATCACTTTTATATTATTGCTAGTCCATTCTATGGCATAATTAGCTTGACTTTTTACTGCATGGTACTTTTTTAATGTTAAACCCAAACAATTTAATTCATATTTTGAAAAAAAAAACATTTTTATTATGGTATTAAAAGAAAATGCATTTTTTTTCTTCCTGTTTTTAAATCAAGAAATATTCATATAAATATCATAAGCATCTTTAATGTTATATTACATACCCTTTGGCTAATCTTTAATGTTGAGATTTTCATTTTAAATAAAGATAATCAGAGGGGACCACAGATATACAGAGCCCATGGCAAGAACTAAAATTTCCTTCCTATCAAGCCAGAGAAACCTATTTTTTTATTTAAAAGATTTAAGACAAAAATAAAATTCTTGGTACGCATAGATGCTCATAGAGATTTTAAGTTTTAGTTAAACATTACTTCAAACAGATAGACAACTAGTATGCCAATTTTATATTTTCATAAAACACAGTAGGGAAATTGAGAATTTGATAATTCAGTGATAATTTAAAAGTTAGTTGTATTCAGTTTAGTTTTATTTTACACTTAATAAGAATGATCAGTGTGCAGCATTATTGCTCATTCAATAAAGCAATCCAAATTTTTTAAGTATAAAAATCATTTGTCCACTTTGCTATTTTGTGTTGCCACAAACTCGGTACCCCTCTGTTCATGCCTTGAATACACTAAATCTTTGCATCGTAAGAGCCCATCAAGATGCAAATAGTTGAAACTAATACAATTCAATGTAAAATTCAATGTCAGCAAAGTGGGGAACAACCTTGAACTAGACTTATTTCATTCTGGACTACAGGCATTTCATCCCAAATTAAGGGAAAAGTATTTACTACAGAAATGACTGAGGTTGCTTATAAATTTAATAAAATATTTTTTAACATGTTTCAAATGACAATTTATTCTTTATTTTAATAAAACTGTCCTACATTATATATATTAATTATGTATACAAATGTGGGAGAAAGTGCTAAGATATTTCTCTGTAGTAATTTAATGTCATTCCTCTGAAGATCTTTCACCACTATTTAAAGTGATGGATACAGATTTTATCTTTTCAATTTGGCTTTTAAAAAAGAAATCAGTTGTATTTTAAAAATTAAGGCTTAAATTATTTCTATTGCTATCCCTTATATATTAGTCTAGTCATTATTTATTTGATATTATATTATATTTTAATAAAACTATGACACATGAGATTAAATATATTATGAAATTATCTTTCTTATATTTAATTATTTTTTTTTAAACCTAAGGGAGCCTGTAAAATTGAACAATTTTTATGTTCAGAGATTAGAATGCTTTTTTTTTTGAAAGAGGTGTCACTCTATGTTCTTTTTGGGTTTTGCTGCAATATGTTTTTTTATTTTTAAATCAGATGAATTTACTTCAACTGATATGTTTCACTTTGTCAATGAATTTTGGCTTTGTTCATAATTTTAATGTATTAATTCAAATATTCTATAATTGTGAGAACAAGCATTTTTCTCTGGTTTTATGTGTAATAAAGTAACAATTAATGAAAATGTCAGTAATTTTCTTTAATATAGATATAAAATTACACATTTTATCAAATAAGCTTAAGGAAATGCATTTTTAAAAATTGAAATACCGATTTGTTTCTAATCCAGGCACTTGTGCTTGGTTACAATCGAAAAGTACTTAACCCTTAAAGGCTGCTTAAATGATGCATCTGTAATTAATTCACTCATGCACATATTTATTTTAAATTATTAGGTTACATTTATTAAGATAGTTGCATTGAAGTGTAAGCTAAAATGTAAAAAAAAAACACTAGAAAATATATTAAATTATGTCCATGATTTGCTCAGTTCTGAAACATATGAATATCCATGTTGATAATATTGAGCGTCTTTAAATGATACATCGTTTAATAATGTTAACCAAAATGCAGTAACCAATAACTCCACAATTATTTTCATATTAACTAAATTTGACTTGAATAAGATGTTCAATTTTTAAAAATTATATTGTATTAAATATGTACATGTGCAAACAGCAATGAAAGCAATGTGCTACATGGAAAAAAAAAGTGAATCCAAAAAGACTTGAAGCAGTGAGATTTGCTGATAATTTTTTGATCAGCAATGAATTAATATAAGATGTCTTCTAAGTAGTACTGAGTGGCTGTCATTGATATTGTTGTGTATAATGCATTTCGTCATTTTATTGCAATAATCCAAGACAACTTTAAGGAAACCTTTTTAATTTTAACCCATTTGCATTTAAAATCCTACTTTTTATACAATTTAATGAGGGTAAAATTATAAAATTTATTTTGTTTGATTCTTTTGTAGTCCACAAATAACCACTGACTATCTATATTCATCCCAGATCCCAGGGAACTTCCTGCAGCAACGTTCACTTTACAATTACATTTCCCAATAAGTGACATAATTTTTATGTTAGTTTATATACACATTTTAACAATCCAAATATCTGTTACTGTTATATTAATAGATTGATAATTTATTTTATAACATTTCCTTAAAAATTTCTTAAGGTTGTTCGGCACAGGTTTTGAAGGTATTTAATCTAATAAGTAACAAAGTGGCCAGATAAACAAGATTAATAATTTTAAAATTTCTCCTCTCCAAGTAGTATTTTTAAGTATTTATCCATCAGCTTTGGGACCAAAATTATTTAATAAATGTTATGACTTTTTCTTTGTTGTAGAAACAAACAACGCATTCGTGAGCCTCATGTAAAATATTAGTATTTAACAAATTTATTGCGGGTCTGAGAGCTCTAAAGAAATCCTCAGATATTCTTGGTACTAAAAAATATATCTATATATATTTGATAAAAATCTGCCAATGAAATTGACAGCACCAAATAATTCAAAATTTGCAATATTTTAATATGATAAAAATTCCTGATGGTGGGTAGTCCTTGTCTGAAGTCAGTTCCTTGTTTTTGCTTTAATAATTCTTTAACTGTCCTTTTGAAATAAAACCTCCAGTTTTAGAAAGCCAAATTTTGCTAATAAAGTCAATTGATGCATGTATATTCATTATGATTTTTGTAGAAGTGAGATGGACAGAATTGAGAAATTCTTTTTGATCTTGCTAAAAACTGCATGGGAAAATAACCAAACAATGGTTTATATGACTGATTTTTTAAATAAAACACTTGTAGACTGATAATTTTTTGTTTCAAGGCCATTTGTTTGAGACTGCCATACATGAGTGGAAAAAAGCAAATAATTTATATTTACAAACTGAATGACTATTAGCTGGAAATAATATGCAGTATAGACACCATCACCATAAAATAGAGGCAGTTGTCTGCCATACATCTAAAAGTTGCAGATAAAAAAAACAACTTTGTTTATATCTGCTTTCATGTAACAGATGTTTTCATATTCCTTGACTACCTTGCCCTACTTTTCATTCAGTCAAAAAATGCTTTTGGCAGTGGCTTTAGTTAAAATATAATCCCAAGAAGTGAACAATACTCATTGGTTTTGAATATCTATGAATTTTTTTGTTTAAATTTAAATGCTTAATGTTAAATTGCAATTTGGCATTTAATTAGTGGGTAGAATGTTTTAATATTTAGAAATTCAACTTTAAATTGATGTTAACATATCAAATATTTAGTAGTGCTTTGCTTAGTTTGAATGATTAATTAGGCGTATATGTAATCAATCATTGACAATGTTAAGGCTATACAGCTTTCTAAATGGTGTATAATTTTTATATAGACCAAATCTTGAACAACTTAGTTCATTTAGTGTGTCACTTGTAACTTATTAAAAATCTGTGATTGTAATAAATATGTATATCTTTTAGTTGTTCCTTGATTGTTGCAGTCACATTTTACTGGGTAATAACTAATTTTTATTTTTGAACAAAAATTAACACTGTTGGTAATAGATGGATTGACTCAAAGTATAATTTTATACTGCTAAATAATAGATTCATTATGAACAATTTTAAAATGATATAGTGAGCCTCATGCATTAATGAAAAAAAAGATAACATGCTTGAATATCATCACTATCCATAAAACTAATTAAAAACTTTTTAATATAACATTCAACAACATTCAAAGTAATACATAACATCCCTCACTGCACGACCCAAATATTAAAAAAATTATAAATGTAATCCATCCCCATCCAACCAAATACTACCATCTAATCTACTTTTCTAACTCAAAATATGTACACTTTTAAAATCAGTGATCTTATTACTGCTGTATCAAAGTATTACTCCATGCTGAGCTGTTTTCATATACTTTCTAATGAAGTAATCGAAAAATCTAACCAAAATAAAGGCGGAAGAGATTTTCATTCCAGGTGTAGACGAGGGGGTGGAGTAAAAGAGAGGAGGTATGACCATGAATAAAAGTGTTAACTATGAGGAGATGAAACTGGATGTTACTTAAGTGGAGTGTAGGGATAGCTTTAGCTGCTGAGTGGAGATGTAACAATGAGTTGATGCGTAACTATGTGGAGATGTAACTGTGATTGAAGATGTAACTGAATGAATTGGTAGCCATGAGTTAATGCATAACCAGGTGGAGATGTAACTGAGAGGAGATGTAGTTTGGTCAGTTTAAAAAAAAAATTCACTGGTTCAATTTTATATTTTTAAACATGAAATAACAACTACAAGACCAGGTTTATATCGCACTAATGTTTATTTAATTTAATACATTTTTATTGACATTTGAATCCAAACTTGCTGAATCAATGGTTATAAATATGAAACACAATTAACATTCTTATCCTTTTGCTTGCCAAATAAAACATATTGTAATTTATGCAGAAGATCTCTATCCCCACATCCATTAAAAAAAGAATATAAGAGCAACAGGAAAGTGATTTAAATTTCAAATAAATGGGATTAAGAACTTTAAATAATAGGAACGCTTGAGTGCCCCTGTGCATATAGAAAGAGAGGTGAGGCAACTAAAGCTGACTCTTGTGCCATCAGATTATTCTGTCTGATTTTATCATGTTCATAGTTTGCCTTAAGTAATTGGTTAGATGTACAGGTACTAAAGAATATTTTTATAAACCAGCACTTTATAATTGATAATTTTTTTTTAAAAAGGACAATGACCTAAAAGAGTCAGCTGTATAATTAATGAAAAATTTATAGAATTTAGAGGGGAAACAATTTGATCTCTATCTAAAAATAAATAAATGGATGTTGAACATAATAATTTGAAATATTAAAATATATAAATATAAAGAAACTGAACATTTTCGCATTGCTGCACACAAGTAGAAGTAACTATTTCAAAACAATGTCTAGAACAAGAAGAATTCAATATTAAAAGTAAAATAATTATAATATGCACTTGATACTGATTAAATTTTAATGATTGCCTATTTAAATTTTTAAAATTATTTCATTATGATGAATTGCAAAAATTTCTATATACATTCATCTACCTCTAAAACCAGGCCAGTGAATCTTGACCTTAAACATGACCTATCAATGCAAAACTATCACTTTTTCTGAGGATTACAGAAAAGTTCAATAGTTTCATGAGTGAACACTCCTTGTTTCCAGCTGACCTTATTAATCTTAACCATCGTTTTCTTTAATCATTAATGTAAGTTTAGCAGAAACAAATATATTAACAAAGTTAACTGAATGTTTTTTTAAATTCATATTAGTTGGTGTCAATCGCAAAAAATTGGGTCTTCAATAACTGCTTATTCTGTAATTCCATGACATAAGTAAAGAGGGGAGTTATCTCTAGAAACAGCAATTTGATTTAGTAATTAACCACAATACATGGCAATTTAAAAAAAAAAATACATAGAATGGATGAGTAGTGTTGCAGATTCACTTGTACACATTTCGATTCACTTGTACACATCTCGTGATTAGAACAACTTCTCAACAATCTCAAACCTTTTTGATAAGCCCCAACATTCAGATGTGTAGAGTTAACCTGCATGATGTATGATAGTAGTCTGAGATTTTATTACAAATCAAAAACCAATTAATCATACAGCAAGTTATCTCAATAAAGAAATTATTCCATAAATAACAAATTATGTTCAACATCCAATTTAAATCTTTTATATGACAGCATTTATATAAGTTTAGAAATTTATCTGTTGATAAGAGGTAATTATAATTTTAAAAAAATAGAAACAACTTAAAAAGAACTTCTCATAAGCTATGACCTTAAGGTTTAAGACATGATTTTAATTTCATCTGAGAGCCCCACTTAATATAATTAACACATATTCTTATCATTTGACACACTTACTGAGAGAACAAGCACTTTTTGTACACAGAGTCATGAGGTCAAGCAGGCAGCCATTGTTAGAGGGTTTAAGTATCCTCTTATAACAAACAAAATAAAGTTAGTGTCAAAGGATTAGGGCACATCAGAGTGTGTATACACATTTTTACAATGTTGTTTTGTAAAATGCTGTAACACCTAAACGTGGTGGGCTACCAGCCAGCAATTTTGAGAATAATATTTTCAGGTATTACAATTTACATTTAATACAATAATTTATTTCACAGGCATTTCTTAAATTTAATTAAATACAAGCTTCAAATGAAAAAGTAGTTGTTACAACCTCTGAAAATATAATTTTAATGACACAATCCAAGTCAAAATAAGTCTACGTAATGACAACCAGATAATTAAATACACAAAAATAGAAATATGCAAAACTGAACAGGCACTGTCCTAGGCTTCAGACTGTACCAAGAAGAAATTTAATATGGGATCAAATAAGAATTAATGTTCTTTCAAAGACAAGAACAAAATAAAAAGAAAGCACCCACTGTGTCATTTTTAAAGTAGTGAGAACAAGGGCACAAATAATATTAATATTAGACTGAACAAAAGCTACACATCATGTGGAGCATTTACCCTACTCATTTGCAAGAACAATTAGTGAATGTCAAATAGTAAGAACAGAAATAATATTTTATTCTACAAATGAAAGAAAAAAACATGTTTAAGCATATGTATTTAGAAGCAATGTGCGTTTCATCAATTTAAGATTAAAACTAAGCCATTGAGAATGAGAATCCAGGAAATATTTTTTATATTTACATAACTTTATATGCACACATTTCTTTTTTTTTTTTTTTTTTTAACAACTTTTGATAAAATTTGCTTATCTTTCACACTCAAATTTCAACAGCAATCGCTTCAATGACTTTTTTTTACAAAGACTGATTCTCTCACACATAACAGCAATAAAATCATCAGTACATTTTCACACCAACTATTATTTTAATGCCTGGGTTTTATCATGAGTTCTTTAATTTGGTTAACAATAAAACAGCATATATACAGGATCTCCCGCTCCTGAAAAAGTTCATATCAAAAGTAACTATTTTAATTTTAAATTTACCTTATTTATTTGCTCCAGCAAGGCCAATGCTGCCTCAGGGTAATATGCGTGTATGAGAACATGTGCAGTCTGGTTTTGGTTACAGTTGAAACAATTGTTGGCCAGGTGATAGCACCGTAAAGAAATGAACAGTAAACTTGGGTTGTCTGTTTTTTAAACTTAAGATCTGTAACATTTTGAACAGAAAAGCTAACCCCAGGCCCCAGAGCACTTAACCCTTTATGTTGTTCATTATTTACTCTCTTTCAGCAAACTTGACAAGTGGCCAAGAGGGTCAATATTCATTTTGGAATAACAATGCTCATAAGCTTACAGGCTTTATATATTTCAGATCAGCCACTCTCCTGCTGCTCTTCAGCCCCATCAGCTTGCTCAAAACCACCATCTTCTGCTAACTCACTCTCTTCATCCTGTTGGTAGTCCTGATTCATCTGAGTATTTTTTTCAAGCTCAAGTTGATCTGCTGTCTCAAATGAAGAATTTTCATCCATTGGAGTTGGTGGGGCAACAGATGTAGACTGATCCTTGGTCATGTCTCCAGCCATGGAAGAGTTTGAACTATCATCATCCCGGCTGCTGCCAGCAACTGCACTGTCCTCTTGTTTGGCATTGATTCTCATAACTGGTTCTCGTGGGGTTGATTCAAACTTTATGTCCATGGCTCGCTCACCCCGCTCTTCTGAATACTTTTTGTGGAGAGACATGATAAGTTCATGAATATTTCTGCGTTTATACAGCACCAACTCCTCAGGAAACCAGTTTTGCAAGCCTTTCATTGGAATTTGAAAGTCTCCTATGGGATCCTGCAATTAACATTGAATCAAATTTTTGTATACTTGAATTATGACAGGTGCAAAAAAATATATATATATATATGATGACTTTTCTCAAATACTATAAGCTTTTTTTAAATTACATATTTTTTAAAACTATAATTTTTAATCATTGTTGACTTAAGACCAAATAGGAGTTTGAATATTAAAAATTAATAAAGACTTATAATGAAAGCATAATAAAAAATTTCATTAGAGAAACAAAACAAAACCCCTGTAAATTGATCAAAATTCTGTCTTTTTTAATACCTCTAAAATGAAGACAGGAAACATAAAAATAAAGGATTGTAAACACAACAAAGTCAAAAATAATATAAAACTAGCATACCTCGAAAAAACTCTCCACATACTGCAATAAGTACACACCACAATCACTGTAATTGCTTTGTTGTGGCACTTTAGGGGAAGATCCTCGCACAATTTTTCCTAAATTTCTAGGCTCTGAATCTGGTCGTTTTGCATTCCATTCACACTGCAAATACCTTATTTAAGAAAAAAAAAATTGTGATTGACATTCTGATGCTATGTTTTATGTGTTAAGTACATCCTATATCATCAATTGAAATAAATGAGTTTTTCTAAAAAAAATAAAGCTTTTGAAAATGTATATCTTTTAAGACTCCTACATAATTTAAAATTCAATTAAAATGACTATTACTCATTTGTCAATTGGGTAAAGCACATTAACTGTAAAGGCAATTCAAACTTACTCTTTTAACATTTTTATATTTGGATTTCTGCTTGGCCCAGCAAGAGAATCAAACATTAATATACATGGCCTGCAAAGAAAAAAACACATTTCAAATATATTACAAATATCAAAGTCATGAACAATGAATGGGAAAAAATATTAGATGAACAGCAAGTTTGTTCTTGCTAAAAACTATTTTCTTTAACTTGTCAAAAGGGAAAAATATAAAAATAGTTCAAGCTTTCTCTGCCCCCCAAAAAATGGTGTTTTCCATCTAAACATTCTAAGCCACTAAGTTTTAGTACACTTACTGTTTGACACCCTCTAGTTTGATTTCATGATCTTCTTGTGGGTCCAGCTGTCTGCCTAATATTGTCTGAAAGAAATATTTATACACGTCCTTACCAAAATCAACACAGTATGCTTAGTGTGAAGGGACAGAACTGAAAAGCTTTGAAATTATTTCATACTGTTTGAAAATGTTATTTCAAGAGCAACAAAAGTGGTGACAATTTTATGGGAAACAAGAAGTCTAATTCCGCATATAATTAGACTATTTGAGAGGCTACAAAAAATTAAATAATTATCATTTATTTTTAAAAACTCATTCTCAGCTAACTCTGTATGTTAAGCTTGCTTCTTTGCAATTTTGAAGTGGTTTTATTTTTTTTTCTATAAAAAGAAAAATTAGTTTGAAAAACTTACTTGAGTATCATTAGAATCATCCTCTCCTTCACCTCTGTGGGCTGTATTGGGAACATACTGAACTATCTCTGGAGTGGCTATTCCAGGAAAGCATATAACAGCCAGGTACCAATGAGAGCTATACGGAAGAAGGAAAAATGTTCTTTTGAATGCAATGTTTATTTTCAGAATTTTTTTTTCCACATAATGTCAAAGTCTTTTCAATATTTCCTAAATAACGATCTAAAAGGTATCTGGTGTAATGCTTCAAAATGGTATCTTGAGAGTACTCACTGCTCATTGATTGGAACAATAATAAAATCTTTACTAAAGAGATCCACTGTCTTTGTCCATTTTTTCACACGAGCATGTCTTCTTTCCGGAAGGCTACAAGTTAAGTTAGTAAATCATATATTAGCTGGATTTTATTTAACATAATGGCAAGGAAGAAAAATTCACATTTGAAATGACAAACTTTAAGAAGTAAATATTTTATCACTCTTACTGGTAATTTTGAACCAGTTAGTGAAATTTTGCCTGTCTCTTATAGTATAAGTGTTAAAATTTTATTTGAGTTCTCTTCCTGTTCTCTGGGCTGAATTTCTCTGTGAAGTTAATTTAGAATAAAAGAGACAGGCAAAATTTGTATAGTGGTAATAGAGAAATATATTTGGTCTATAGTTGCTCTGAGTTTAACTGCTTTTTTATCAGAGGTTATCATTTATTTTTGGCACACAGCAATTAAAGAGATTTAAACGCATACCTTTTTTTAGCATCTTCTTCAGTTTTTTCAAGATGTCTGTCTCTTTGTGTTAACCGTTTGTAAAAAAATGAACTAAAAATATGAGTTCTCCTCCTGTTCTCTGGGCTGAATTTCTCTAAATACAAATATCTGGGAGATACATAAAAAAAAAAGACGAAAAAAAATGTTATTCTTTTAAAAATGTACAAGGACTTTCAGGTATCTGGTGCTATTTTCATCAACAAACAAAATAAGCCAGCTAGATATTAGTGTTTCTCATCACATTTCACTGGTTAACAATTGTAATCATGATTACATTATATCAATTGCACATTTGTTTTATTGTTTTATACTTTTAATTTATTTTATATATTATAAAATGTATACAGACTAATGGAGTTTAATTTTACTGTCAAACATCAGTGTGTTCTGATTTAATACTTCCCTATATAACACATCTTACATAAGGTGGATAAGTAGATTCACTTACTGCAAGTAAAAATCAATAATAACATCATTAAGGAATTCTCCTTCTGTCAAGCACCATATATCTTCTGTGGTTATTGGAATTCCCCGAAGAGGTGGGGGTGGATACTGGAGGAGCCTAACAATGCAATTAAAAAGATTTATTAAGTTGGTTTTTATTTTAATAATCATCCAACAGTTAAGGGACAGCAGATCAGCTTTGAGCATTTTCTCTATTTTTGTGTGCTTTAATGCTAAGATCTCCTAGAAAAGTGTGAGACATTGTGAATTCTGCTGCAACATAAGAGTATTTAATGAATATAATTTAAACAATTGTACAGAATCTCCTAAACATTTTAAATTATCTTAATCTAATGAATTCTTACCTGACATTGGACCCAAAGAAGTGTTTAACTTCTGGAGGTGAGCTTGAGGTGCTGTCTGGTTCATTGTCCGTGCTGTCTGAAGGTGACAGTGGAGCTCTAGCCATCTGGTCCTTGTCCTGTGAGCTTCTGAGGTATCTGGACGGATGGAAATACATTTCAGGGCCAAATTAGTTCCCCGTCGGAATTTTTAAAATATAAATTATTCTATTTTACAAAATTTATACTTTGAAAGAAATCTTTTTCAAATCTTAATTCAGAAAATATTTTGATTTACTAAATTACAATTATTAATTGAATTTTGAGCATATCTTGTATTAGGAACAACTTTGCAGTTCATTTGGAATTCATTTGTATTTTAAACAATAATCCAGATCAGAGTTTCTATATCTAACCTTTTTTTGAATTTCATGACATCATGCTCTACATCTGCAGTGAGGACTGGTGGGGCTGATTGAATCAGGAGATCATTGGCACTTTCTTCAGTGAGTTCTTCAATGTAATTCATGTCTTCCTCATGGTTTATGTCTGCCCACAGGGACAGTGTCTCACGCAACATTCCTTGAGGCATGTAGTTAAAACATTCTACAATAATCACAACCATCTTCTGCTTCATGTCTGCAATTAGAATGTTTTTAAACAAATTTTAAGACTAAAAAATAAAATTCAAAATATGATCCGCAGGCATGATTTCAAAATTAAAAGTACCCCTTTTTAAATACCTTTAGCACCAATTAATTATAGACACTTCCAAATGACTTTAAAAATATATTTTAACATTAGTTTTTGTATGTTTTATTGAAATTTTCATGCATTAATTTAACTGCAAAAGTCAAGGTGTTTAAAATTGAAATTATGTCATGTAAACTTTATTATGTGACAGTATTATACCTCTTCTGATTGATTTTATTGACATTCAAAGCATAAGAAGGCACCTCTGACCCAAAATCAGAAAAAAAGGAATAATAAGATTATTTAAGTACGCAAATATTTCTTTGAAACATAAACTTGAGAAAGCTTTTCCAACAAGTTTTGTTTGGTTTGTTGGCATATGTGCTTGTTACAGGAAGTTAATCAATAGCGTATGCACAATTAAAAACTTAAGATAATTTTCAATTCTGTCTCCAATTACCTCTGCTCTTAGAGTTAAAATAATCAATAGAGGAATAATGAACCTGGCAAATTTTGATAACATTCAACATCTTTTGTGGGTATTTCAATAAAGTTGATTTTCATTATTTAATGACATACATGGCCTGGTAAATCCAGAAAATGTGTCACTTTTCATGATGTATGTTATATTGTTTGTCATTCACACATGAAGATGACCAAGGCAAATTTGGCCTTAGAGTAGTAGCCTAGACTTGAGACGTATTTTGTTTAAAGTGAGATTCAATTTCAGAGTTTGCCCTCTCAGATGAGTTACCATCCAAGGTTAATGAGTCCCATCCACCCCGGGTGCTGGTAATGTTTCTGCTTTTGCTTGGGATTGAACTCCAGTCCACTAGCTTGGGACTGAATCAGTTTAAGGCCACTGGGCATACAATGCATAACTCTAGTCCACTCGCTTGGTATTGACTCAGTTTAGGGTACCCAACACACAACATACATGCAGTGTCATATAGAAGCAAAAGTGGTTAATGCTTTCAGTAACAATATTAATTTTTTTTTTAAAGTTAGTAGTTAAAAAGTAAAGTAAATAGAACTGCTGCAGCAAGCCTTCCTATACAATAACTTTAAAAATAATATTTTTGTATAAGCTTTTCTACTTAAATCTCTTCAACATTATTACCTGTACTGCTTGGGTCAAAGTACTCATCATCACCCTTTTCCATATGACATATATTCCTCAGCTTCTCCCCACACTCATGTGTAAGAAACAAGAATAATACGGGCTGAGTTTGTCCAGCAAAATACTTGACATGGGTTACATCTGTAGCTAAAATCTCACACTCAAAAGGTTCCTCTGTTCTTTCAGCTGCAGAATGAATTAATTAGAGAACTAAGATTTTTGATAAATGAGTTTAGCTGTTATTGTGGGTTGATCAGTCCTATCTCCTCAGAGCACCATTTCTTTTATTCTCAGTGAAATATTTCCTTTGCCGATGCCACATGAATAAATGACTTTAAAATATAATGTTCCCATATTTATAAATTTGCATTGCAATGCATTGAATTTAACCAAGAAAATGGTAACATAACAATAATCTGAATTAAGGTTATAACTGTTTTCTACTTGTTGCTCAAAGTGATAAGTTTTATAATAGAATGCATGTCAACTTGCTTTTAGTATCAATTTAATATATCTTTAACATGATCTGCTACTCTCTGCTCACATTTAACTTTGAAGCAAACTCCTCTCAAATTTATCAACAATGGACCTTCAGGTTGAGTGCGCATGGATCCTATCCGAACGCTACGGATGTCAATTTCATAAATTGGGACTTCATAGTCATCATCATCATCTTCCTCTTCTTCCTCCTCCATTTCCCTATCCATGAAATGTGTTCCTCTTTGTTGAATCTTTTTACTCATCTTGCTTGCTCCATCCTGGCAACAAAAAAGTCAAGGTTATTTGTTAAAGTTTACTAAATGTGTGAACGTTTACTATAACTATAATGTTTGAAAATTTACTATATTTACTATAATTTTTGAAAGTTTACTATAATGTTTATCTATTGCATGTGAATGACTTTGTTACCTCATCTTCCATTCGAAATTTCCTAAATCTACCAAAGGCATTGATGGGTTCTGTTGGCGTTGATGGAAAGAGAGGTGATTCACTTCCCCCTGAGTGAGCTGGGCTGGGGGCATGGCTGAGTATGTTGTTTGATGTTGATGATGGTTCATCCTCATCAGATGAAATGGTTAATGTAACTGTGAAAAAAAATATTTTAAAAAATCAAGGTTACTTTTTTTGGATTGATCACGAATATTATAACAACAGAAAACACCCTTTGATGGTTATAGCACAGAAAATGTACCAAAGTTTAATAAGTTCAGAATGCTTTGGTTAAAAATTAAGAAATAATATTTTACAAACATTTTTATAGTCATAATAATAAAATGTTTTAAACAAAATTCAAATGAATCTTAGCATTCTAGTTATTAAATGAATGCTGCAAAAGTTTAAAGAAATTTAATATAATTGTACAATGTCATTGGTTCCTATTACAATATTTTATAATCATGTATTTTGTTAACAAGATGCATGCTTTAAGGTTACCTGGTGTCATTTGAAAAATTAAGAAGATAGGGAAATGCTTGAATTTTCTTTGGATTTAGTGCAAGATACAAGTAAAAACTATTGCAAAACCTCAAAAAGAATATAATTTAAAAAATAATAGGTAGGAAAGCGATTTTCATCAAGTGGAATTTGAAGTAAGTGGCCTATTGTATTGAAGCTATCCCACAACTAGGAACGGCAAAATTATTTTTACTCAAGGTTTACAATCTGCTTATTAACAATATTACTGTAGAGCAGGTATTACGTAACAGGCATCAATAAAAGACTAGCCTTGAAATGAGCTCAATGCTACACAATAAATTTTGACTTAACATTGATGATGTTAATTTTCAATGTTATGGTAAAAACAAACAAAATGTTGAATAGATTTAGAAGGTGCAATACTTACACATGATTTATTAAATGCTATTTATTTTAATTGACTAAATGTTAATTTAGATATTACACAAATGAATGCCATAAATAAATTTATAGCTATATCACACCTGGTTACACTGGAACCCTCAAAATAGTACAATATAGTCTCAGACTTGTAATTTACCATCTCAAGATCATACAATACCGTATTATACTAGTAAATAAATAAACATACAGTATAATGTAGACAATAACTAATCACATCACATGTCTAATGAAGGTCACTTCACAAAGTAGATGACAGACTTTTTTATATTTATATACAGGGCTTTATTGCAAATAAGGTGCCCATTATTTGCCACTTTGATAGATGAAGATGGGGTGGGGGAGTGGAAGTTGAGGATGCCAGGCGTAGTTGCCCAAGCAAAAGGACAAAATAATTATATCACAAAATTACATCATACAGTCACATAGCAAATAAAAGTGATGTTCACTAAATGTGACACTAGGGCGACTCTGCTAATATTTCTGTGGCTGCATCAAGCCAGTTCATTGGGAAAACAAAAAGCAACAATATGAAAATCTTCACCACCATTACAAAACATGTATGTAGTACGGTATTTAAAAAATATCAAATATTTTTTTAAATAATATAAAAATATACAAAGTATTTAGACACTTTCCACAATCTTTCCCATGCACAGCACACACTTACACCTGTAAGTCAACGCTCTTCTCAGTGCGTTCACAATATAATTATGGGTGCTGCCCAACCAATCGTATTTCTGGGCCCACAGGGAGCAATGAGAGAAGGGCAGACAAGATGGAATCGGGAAATTTTAATAAAGATAATAAAAATATTCAACATTTTTTGGCTACATTTTTCTCTCATTTAGTCTGACTTTTGTCAACTCAGCACTTTTTCTGAATTTTTCTTTTAATGAAGGTAAGATTGTTACAAAAATCTTTGCTTTTTCTCTTTAACTGGCATTTGCAAGTGATACTTACATTAATTATTTTCATTATTCTGCTTGATGAGCAAGCACTGATAACTATCTGGTTATATTAAGTGGCAGACTCCTGTACTAACCTGGTTCATCTTGCTTCTTTGCTCTCTTTCTTGGGTTTGGATTCTTTGATTTGGGACGGGCAGGGCGCTTTTTCACGGGGCTATCCCCACTGTTCTCCGAGGTGTCACTGTTTCTATGACCTTCCATAGAGTCATCAGTATCACTACCTGATTTTTATAGAGATACACTTTGTAAATGTCTGACACAAAAATTTGTTACAGCTGCATTTGTTTTTGACCATTAAGATTAACTGTTTTATACCAATACTCAGAATCAACAACTCAACATATAAAAGAGCAAATAATAACATTATCGTCAAACTCACTTGGACCTCCCCTTGCTCCCATTCGTCCTTTCATCCCTCCACCTCTTGTGCGCCCACTACCTCTCATCCCCCTGCGTCTGCCTCTTCCTCTGGTCGGACGGTGTCCACAGGCAACTTCAGTTTTCACAGGAGCACCACCATATGGGTCCGTCTGTTCGGAATCTTCGTACTCCTCAGGCCCATTAGCTTTAAAAATTGAGCCTGAGCCTGTCTGTGGAGGTGCTGGCGTTTTGCTGCCACCTGTGTTCTTCTTTAAGGTGTGAACCTTCATTTCTCCCTGGAATATTTTTTTACAGCCTTCACAGCGTTTAAAATCTTTACTGGTGTAGCCACAGTGGGTGCAAACTCTGAAGTAGTCTTCTTGCTGGGGAGGTGAAAAATAAGAAAATAAATGTTTTTGAAGAGTTAATATTTAAAGAAATAAATTGATGTGCATATTTTAAAAATTAAATTGCTGTCATTGAAAAATAAATTAAATACCTCTGGATAAGGCTTTTTGAAAATAGCATCATCATTTTCTTCATCCTTTAGTTCTTCCTTTTTCTGAATTTGGCCTGAAGATAAAGAGCAGAAGATTTATAATCCCACAAATTCATTATTTAAATGTTTACATTTTAAATGCAAACTGTATCACTTAGCTGTGTAAAAACTAAAAATAAATTAAACTAATGTATTTTATAAAGAACAATGAAACTCACATTGTGACAAAGGTTTAACGTATGTTGAATGATTGCTTGACTGCTCCAGGCAATTTCTAAGGAAACAGATTATTCATAATCATTTAAACACGATATCGTGTTTAATAAAATCATACCATTTTTAAATCCGTTTGTACAAGTGTTCCGTAAATAAATAAATAACAAATGAATAGCTTTTAAAAAGTTACAATTTTAACAATAAATCTTAGCAATAAAGCTGATTTTTAAAAAAAAATATAAATAATGTCTCAATCTGTAGCAGATTACTTCTGGTTCATAAACAATTCTAAATACCTTTCAAGATAAAATTCTTATTTTAATAATAAAACATTCATGCCTCAAGTGAGAAGTCTCAATGTTGCAGTTCTGTTCACATCTCACTGCCAGGTTATCTTCTTGACTTGGAAAGGAAGGATCTCCTTCACTGAACAAACTGTAAATTGCATTTGCATCCAGTTGATTAACCTCTTCACTTCTTGTACATATTTAAAAATTTCAACTTGATGACTAAACAGTTGAAGCCTAACACATGTCATTTAACCGATTCAACATCTCATTTAATAGAAACAAATGTTAGTTAATGGGAACCAATAAAGCAGGTTTTTTTTTTAATGTAATAGGCCACAGTTATAGTTCTGTGCATTTGCTATTCAATAAAAGAATTTATACTCCATTATTGCTGATCTTTTTGTAGGGAGTGGCAGACTTGGTAAAATAATTCATTGGGGGGGGGGGGGGGGGGGGGGGGGTTGGTGTGTTGGAGTGTGTGTGAGACTTGTCAAATAATTCTTAGGGGGTGTGGAGTATAGAAAAAGTTGGGGAACGCTGCAATAAGGGAATTAAATTTTCAAGAAAATTATTTTATAGTAATTGCTTCTTACATTTTTTAGGGAGAGCATGGCAGTAATGATTAAAGAAATTGCACTGACACATAAGATAATTAGTTTCTGTTAAATTTTTTAATCATAAAAGGCCTTGTTTCAAATCAAGAACATCGATGAGTGTGATAACACTTAAGTAAATAAATAGATATAAAATCTTGTCTCTGTGCACAAGTTCACAAGTAGTGAAGCTTTATTTACGGCTTTAAAAAAAGTTAATGAACATTTGGCACACACCTTTTCAGCAGTTATAAATAGATAAAACCTAATATTAGTAAATCTATTATTATTAATAGGGACCATCCATAAATGACGTCACATGTTTAGGGAGGAAGGGGGTCAGAATTTTGTGACGAGGGGGAGGGGGGCCTCAAACAATGTGACGTCACATGAAAAGCAGAAAGTTGTGGTAAAGAATTTCACTTAATAACACTGAATTACAGACATTTTTAACATTACTTTATAAAAAACAACAATTATAATTATTTTATTTTAAAACTACTATCAGTTCAGTAGGTATGCGAAGTCCGAAGAATGGCCTCTGATCAAGTTACAGGACGCCCAGTAGTAGGAGAATCGGAATGTAGTTACAATGACAGTCAGTCGTGAGAATTTATGGCTAAATCTGGACACGGGAAGTGGGATGGAGCAAAAAAAAAGGGTAACCCCGGGGTGGGGGTATCGTAGTAAATGCTCAAGGGCAGGGATTCTTAACCTTTTTTGCAGCATTGCAGGCCCACTCCATTTTAAACATCAATCCCCCAACCGTATAAATTACATTGTAATAAAATTTTAAATAATTAAATAATTTAGTTATCATAGTTTTAGTTCTTTAATTAACTTTTTTAAACAAGGGAAAAAATTACCAAAGCACACAATTCGCCAATGAAATTCACCCTTGACTGCGGCTAATCAAAATCCATAAAAAATTTTCCTTTTTTTTTTTTAAAGCAGCAACAGCTAGCAATTGCAGCAAATAGAATCAGTGGCGTAGCAAGGGTTGGTGTCACCCGGTCCGGTAAGCTCGTGGTATCACAACCCCGCCCCCCCCTTTTTTACGATGTATTTCTTCTTGTTAAACTTAGTCCACAGTATAAGTAATACAAGAACAAAAACAAATTAATTGAAGGTCTGGGGGTAAATGTGTTTAAGAACTGCAACGTTCCTAGAATCGTTCATGGTTATCAAAGGAAAGGTCTAGTATTTCTAAGAATTTAGATAGAAATAGCTTCCTGCCACTTACAAAAGTTACCGAACACTTCATTCGGCGTTGAAACATGGTCAAAACGCTGTGTTTCTGACCTACTAATATGGTAACCTAATTGCTGACGCATCAACCTTGACATTTTAATATTAACGAAACAAGCATTTTGATTGGTTACATAGGTGGAAAATGTACGTGTCATCTGTTATCCTTTTATGCATTTCTGTTAGACCGATCAGTGTGTGCTCTGTAATTATGCTATCTTTCAATTTGGTGTCACCCCCTGAGATGGTGTCGGCCGGTGCAGTCCGCATCCTTTAGCTACGCCACTGAATACAATTTTTTGGTCTTCCACACCTCAAGGCTGGGGAGGTACTTGTACCCTTGGTTAAGAACCACTGATCTAGTGAAATGTTTCTGACACAGGTGCAGTAATATGATATACATGGGAGATGAATTTCTTAAGGGTCTGTAAAGGACAGTAGTGAGTACAGGGGACTTTTTTTGGGGGGGGGGGGGGGGGGGGNTATGTGGGGGGGGGGTTAAAAAATTTGCGTGACGTTGTTTATGGGTGGCCCCTTAGTTATAAAAATATGATTAATAAAAACTAAATAGAAACATATAAAACTTTTAAAAATTACTTTCTTTCTCAGATGAGTTTAGACACACTAAAAAGTAGAAATAATTTTATTAAATTCATTATGCAAAGATACTGCAGAAGGGTAGTAAAGCACTCTGTGAAGCCAAATGATTCCAATTAAATATAGAAGAAACTTAATTTTTTTTCTTCTTTCTAATTTTTGAAAACGTTTTTTGCACAGACTTTCTGTGCATAATGAATTTTAAGAAAATTATTTTAGCGAGTTTAAAATTGTTTTTAAAAGAAAGTGTTTTTGTTAAAGATTTTTAATTTTTAGTATTAAAATTGTAATCTTTAAATTATCAGCAAAAGTGGAATTATTACTGGATCCCATGCCGAGCTCCCTACCCACCCTTCTCCCACCATTCACAGAACAAAGCCCATGAGACAGACGATCAAATGAGTCATAGAGTCGAGTCACATGTGTCAACAAAAAATATTACGATTTGAGAACAGGATGGAAATACAAGTAGAGAGAAAGTCTTCAATAAAAATAGGAACCTGGCTCTGAAATCGATAAGTTATAACTAGGGAAAAGAAGAAGTGTAAGTGTTTTAAATTAAATTCAGAATTAATACTTTATTAACTAACATGGCTTTGTATGTGCACAAACACTTCTTTTTATGTCTTTTAATCTTGTTTTCTTACAGGCATAGATGCTCACTTTTAGTTATTACATTTGCATACTGAGGTTCTTTTCATATGAATGTAAAATGTTTCAAAGTTCAATAACTAATAATTTATGGGAGAAATGATGAGTGACATCTCGTTTTATGTTTGAGTCATTTCCTTTAAAGAAATTAGTGCAGCAGATTTTGGCAAATAGGGGAATGGTTATGAAAGCACTATTTTAATTCTGGATGATTTTTTCTACAAGAAATGAAAAATCAAAAGCCTCTTTCTGACTGGGGTTTAAGAAAATATTAAAATGTCTGAGAAACTCATTTTAGAATACTTCTTGCAGGTGACATCGGTTGACAGTACAAGTCAACCATTTATGTTACTGGGAAATACCGCATCATTACCCAAGACTGCTTGATTTGTGTTTGCTTCAGAGATTAAGAGGAAATTATTAAGCGTCTTAACAGATGATAAATGAAAGAAGAAACACAGCCACCAAATTATTATGTCCCAATGTTTATAGCAAGTCCTGTACCTCTGATCATCCTGGCCATATTCACGAGTTAAAGACTGCACAAATGATGTCTGGAACTTTGAAATACTCTGGTTAATTGCTTGTGATGGTTGAGCTTTTGCTTTCTCTTTCTCGCTGGTTGCATAAATAATGTAAGATCAAAAAAAAAAAAAAAATTGTTTTGTTTGAATATTATTATATGGCTGTTCTACTAGAAATCAAGTTTTCAGATTTAGGGTATAGGTATTATTTAAGAGCTCAAACAGAATTAATGTAATGATTTGTGTTCCTTTAACAATGAGAGACCATAATGGGTCAATTTTTTTAATGTAAATTACCTAGTGAAAAAGCTTAAAGTCACATTGTGCAGTCAGAGAAGAAATGTTTCAAAATGTGAAAACAGGGATTCGGCGATTTAACATTTTAATTGACTGCCTACCTGTTGCTCATAGCCTGGCTGGTTGATGCTTTCTGGTCTGGGTGCTGTTTCATTTGTTTTCCACCAGAACTTACTGGAACTTTTCCTGGAGGTCCTATGTCTAGTTGGCATAAAAAAGGAGGAAGTGACAAACATATATTTTAAATTACTTTATAAATGGACCAGTTCATCTGCATCTGTTGTACCCATAGCATGCAAAAAAAATTGAATGCTAAAAAAAAAAAAAAATACTAAAGAGATAAGTTTAAAATTGGTTCTTTTCTGACAAATAGCCCTTAGATGGGTTTAAGATAACCCCCTAACTATGATCTTTTATTGACAAATTTTAAGACCTATTGAAAATGTAACAATGCAAAAATTACTACTTATAATTTTTTAAAATTTAAGCTACATCCCATGTCAGGCGTAAACATATGACAGCTGTGGGTTCCTTGGCTCAGACAGCTGTGGGTTCCATGGTTCATAACAATATTAAAAGTTTGAGTAAAACATGGTTTGCAATTAACCTTTCAAATCTGCTTCATTCAGGTCTTCAAAGCGTTCTCCATTCCATAAAGCTAGGACCATAGACTGGTCAATTGGGGACCTAATCTGGTAAATCATACCAGGTTTCAAACGTTCTTGGCCTTTCGCAGATTTTATTATACACTTTTCTTCTGACAATGTATCAAGGCTGAAAGTTTCAGGTCTGTTGGAGCGAAAAAAATGAAAATAAGCTATTGTATAGATAAAATTTATGATAATCTGAACTATATGAGAACCAACACATCTTTTACTGTTTTAGAAGGTATCATGGACTAATTTTATGGAAATATTATTTGGAACTGACAAATTATGAACATTTTTAAACATTAAGTCATATGCCTTAGTTGAACAGTGGATCCCAAGAAACTACACTAGTAGGACAAAGATATATTTATATCTGCACAAGAAACTTTTGTTTAAGCTCAAGTTGAGGTCATTTAGCAAAGATTTTAAGAGAAATTTAGTTGTAAGCTCTCAGCCCCCTGGATGAAATCAATTGGAAAAATAAAAGCTTATACTCGTTCTAAAGCCTTTAGTTTATATCCCCCCCCTCACTTTTTTTGTTTTGGACAGGAAATGTCTATAAAGTGTATAACCCACCCATAAGCTGACCCCATAAAATAATTTGCTTTTTAAATCCAGACTAAAAATTAATTATTTAACTTCATTGTGTATTAAAAGCCTTAAATACCATTACCGGGTATAACATACTGTGTAATGTTAAAATTGTACTCGCTTCGCATGGACATTTTCAAAAACAGATGACTGCAGTTTGGAAAGAAATAATTGATCGCTTTATTTTTCCATGTGAATTTTCTGCTGTAGATATCAATTAACAAGTTTGTGTAAATGAAGATTGCATTATTGCAGTCTGGTAACAAATGTGGATTAGATGCTGGTACAAGACTGTATCAAAATGAGAGTTGCTCTGACCATTCTAAAAATCTTGTAAAACATGATAATCTGTTATTTCATTAGTCTATATAGGTACTTTGATACTCTCTAAGCAATTCCAATCACAGCAGTCGCAAAATGAGAACAAAACTCATGACCACAATTTTGCATACTGCTTTAAGCTGAATAATTACCTTTTTAAAATTGTTTTTTAGGATTGAATCAATGTGCCTACAGAAAATTATAAAAATCTCCTATGACCTGCTTATAAGCCAACCACTGCACTTAATCCCCTGCAGAATTTCCAAAATAAAATGGCTTTTGAATATTTAATATAGTATTCTGAGATAAGAGTAACACTTACTTGTAGCTTGGGGCATGCAGCTGGGTGTTATGTTGAATGTGATGCTGCTGAGCAACTTGCTGTTGGGGAAGGTGCTGTTGCTGAGCTGGATACTGTTGCTGAGCTGGATACTGTTGCTGAGCTGAATGTTGTTGCTGTGTTGGATGTTGTTGTTGGGCTGAATGTTGTTGCTGTGCTGGATGTTGTTGCTGAGGTGGGTGTAGTTGCTGCTGCTGAACCAGATGTTGCTGAGCTGGATGGTGCTGGTTAGGATGCTGTTGAAAGGGAATTTGCTGTGCAGGAAGCTGTTGTGTTGATGGGTGTTGGTGAGGGAGCTGCTGAATGTTATGATGATGCTGTTGAAGAGGGTTATGCTGTGGTGTGCTCTGCTGGCCTGACAGCTGCTGAGGAGGGTTCACCTGCTGAGGCTGAAGGTCAAGCTGAGGTTTTGGTTGGTCAGAAAATGGATTCTGCAGCACCACCTGGTTTGGACTTGGCACTGTCGGCACAAGACCCCGAGTTTGTGTTGCTGTAGGACTAGCTGCAGACACTGCAATTTGTTGTGGTACTGGATGGTTCATGGGAGGTGAGACCAAGCCTTGAAGCTGCTGTGTGGAATGGGGGGGCAAGGGGGGAGGGTTTCGAGGTTTGACAAAAACATTGGCTGGCTGTGCCTGACTTTGCTGTGGAGGGACAGTTGGCCTTTGTTGATTGGTGGGCCCCAACTGTGCTTTATTTTGGGTCGTGAAGGGCACCACACTACAAACAGGCCTGTCTCCTTGGGGAACTAGACTGCTAAAGTTGGGATCAAGAATGGCAGGAATAGGCTGTCTAGGTGGGAGTTGGTGCTTGGGCTGATAAGTTGTTTGATTCTGCTGCTGTTGAGGACGAAGGGTTTGATTAGGAACAAGGGGGATACTCTGATTTGTCTGTTCTGTTGAGGGCAAGGCACCAGACTGCTGAATAGGTGCTATCTGCTGACCCTGCAGACTAGGGACACCTTTTTTTGCCATAATCTCTTCATCCAAACTCTGCTGCATGTACTCAACTGTGAGCCTTGCCAAGGTTGCCTCACTGGGTGCGGACTCTTTAGGTAATGTGCTTTTTTGTTGGGGTGCAAGAGGTAAATTGGCCTGAATATTTAGTCCTGGCAGCCTAAGAACACCTTGGTTTGAAATCTGTCCATTATTTGGATTATTTGCAACACACTGTGTGACTTGCCCAAAAGACTGTTGCACTTGTGGATTGGCTTTTGGCTGAAGTCCTCTCACTAATGGAGGCTGGACCACAGTAGGTGTTCCTGCTTGTTGATTAGAAGACACTGGACTAATGACCAAAGGTTGGATATTTGGACTCTGCTGAACGGTAATCTTGTTTTGGTTCGCCTGCCCAGGTGAATTGGGCTGGTTGACATTGCCAGACACTATAAGATGTTGAATAGGTTTTAAAACGATACCAGGTGGATTAACCTGGGCAGGAGCTTGTGGTTTCAACATTTCAGGTTGGCCTTGAAATGAGGCAGCAGGCTTCTGTGCAGGTTTTGGGGGTGGCATCATCTGGGCTGGACCAGTTTGTGGAATGGCTTTCGGAGTTGGTGATCTAATCTCCCCCATTTGGGAAGGTGATTTCATGATATTCTGAACAGGCTGCCAGCCACTATTAATTGCAGGTGTGTGGCCAGCTGGAGAAGGACTAGCTTTACTTTGTTGGCCAGGGCCAACAAGTTTTAGTGGTGACTGCTGCTGCCTAACCTGAGGTAAGGGTGCTCCAGCTTGTACTGGAGTTGACTGACGAGCATTTGCTAACTGGAGCTGTGAAGCAGGGGGCTTGTTGGGCTGCTTCTGATTGGTAGATTGTCCTGAGGACATACTTTGCTGATTGAACCCGTTTGTTGAAGGAGACAGTAGATTATGACCTTGCCCAGTGCCTGGGGCCTTTACTCTCATATTCTGTCCCCCTGAAGGCCCAACAAACATTCTATTTTGACTACAAGGACCTTGAATATCATTAGACCCACCTGATAGTTCAGAGTGAGTTGGCACACCTGAGAATTGAGGTGGTCTTTTTTGATTCAACATAGGCTGTCTTGGAATATTTTTATGGAAACCCAAATGACCTTGGGATGAAGAGGTAACAAGGCGTTCATCTTCTGCTCCTTCTTCTTCATCCTCTTCCTCCTCATCTTCTTCATCCTCATCCTCTTCATCAATATAACCTTCTTCAGGATACATCTCTTGCCCATATTCCATATTGCGATGGTACATCATTTCATCCAGCTCATCTGCATCTACACCCTTTTCACGAAGACGATTCATAATTTCTTCATACCTTGGTCCATTCTCACATGAATTTAGTTCTTCAAGTAAAGCAGATTCTCTGTTAAAAAAGGAAACAACAATTTTCAGTTTAAGGGCATGCACATTTTGGGAATCGCTGATTAACCATACATTATTGCCTTTTTAATTGAACCACAATATTTTTTTACCACAGATAACATTCAGAGGTTATATACACAAATATACCTTTAAAAACATGCTGAAAAAACAAAACATGTACATATTCCAGTTAATTTAAGAGGAAATTCAGATGTGCTTGAGGTGTTGTCATGCATTAAAGCAATTTTTCCCAACCTTTTTTTTTTTATCAATGCTCCACCTTATCACCTACAAAGGTTTGATGTGGAAGCCAACCACTGCACTTATTCCTGTGGAAGCCAACCACTGCACTTATTCCCCTGCAAGAGAGAGGTCTCCCTGCTGGAACAACTAAATTGCTTGTTTTTAAAATCAATAAATCACTGCACTATATCAACATTCAGAAAACTGCTTGGGGTTAGATATATTTGTATCTTTTTCAATGCATTGTAAAGCCATTATTCCTTTCATTTTAAATTGTGTTTTAATTCAATTATCATTTTGCATGTTGGATAATTCTTCTTGATATTGCAAGGCCACCACACTAAGGCCCACCGGCATTTATTGCATTTAACAAGAAACTATATAGGATTGCCAACCTTCATATATTTTAACTAAGAACCTTCTTTCATTAGGCAGAAACTTTTGACCTAATCAACAGAATGATGAAGGTTCATCATTCCAAAAAGCTGGTATGGAACTGAACTTATATTAATACTTTTTTTTCTCTCTAGCTTCCACTTCTTATTTTTATAAAGAAATGTGTGCGTTGTTTCTGTTTTAAAAAAAAAGGGATTTGAGCTTTCCTACAATTATTTTCCATCTATTTCAGTTTTGGCACAGTGATCTGAACATTTATGGTTCTTAACATCATTTTTGTATTTAATATGGAGGGTTGGTTATATGGGACACAATGCTGTTGGAGATGCTGGGGTATACATGTACTTAGTTTAATTAGGTGATCTGTCAACTATGCCAACACTTGCAAAGTCAATGCATATCAATCTCTCAGAGTCAAAAAATATCCCCCCCCCCCCCCCATATTAACTTCATATTGCCCCAAAGTAGGGAAACACTGCACTCCTAAAACATACAGCAATCGATAAGATTTCAAAAGAAAGATTTCAACATACTCATCTGAAAGTTCATCACTATCGCTTCCCGGATAGCCATAATCCATGACGCCCATGTAATCCTGGTTGTACATCTCCTCTTCGTCATCTTCCATATCCTCATCGTAATAATCATCTTCATCGTCGAAGTACATATCATCAGGCTCATGAGATTCTGAGCCCTCCGTTGTCCTATGCTCACCTCCACTGCTTAGTCTCTGCTGGGCCATTCTAGCCTGGCCATAGGGATATCCTTGATGGGGTAATGGCATTCTGCCTCCCCTGTTGGGATGTGGTGGCCTCATGTCCTGATGAAACACCCCAGACCTTGGAGCCTGGTTCATGGGCTGAGATTGTGGATGTCCAGTCTGCCTCATTTGTCCAGGTGAAGGAGCTCCACCCTGTTGTCTTGGAATACTGGGATTTTGGGACACCATTTTACCACCTGGGCCTCCCTGACCAAGCGCACCAGTTGGATTGGCTGATCTCATTGGCTGAGGTTGCCTGAGACCAGGGTTTTGTTGCTGTGGGTGGTTAAAATTTAGACGTTGACTAGTTTGGTTTTGGGTAGGTGGGGGCATCCTGATGTTATGTGATGATTTCTGAGCATTGTTGCCATGAAAGAGTTGTCTCTGTTCCATTTGTGGAGGTCGAGTAAAGCGTTGGGATGGACTCTTGAAAATAAGGACAAAAAAAGAAGCAATTTTTAATTTTAAAAATTATATATTTTTTATTTGAAAAGATCTAATTGTATAGATGTAATTAAATATGTTTTTAAAAAAAAAAATAATTCACAAATGGTTAACGTTTATAATGGTACTAGTTGAATTGAACAGCCGTAACAAAAAATATTATTATGAAAATGAATAATGAAAGTATATTTTATTCAAGAAAAAAAAGCCTTGAAAAGACACAAAGGTCTGCCGTAGAAATGCATAAAATATTTTTTTTTTTAAAGTAGACAATTGCACTTTGTTATGTCAGTAAACCAAACAAAAAAGCCATCCACAGTCAGCAGCGAGAACTTAAAAAAAAAAAGAATTTTTTTTTTTAAAAGGCAGTTTTATATCATCTGAATGGGGTACTAAAGATACCATTAACAGAATGATGAGCTAAAATATTATGCATGCTTTTGTTATTAAAAAAAAAAAAAGTATTGTTTCTTTACAAGTGGTCTTAAACTTAAGAGTAAGTCACTAATATGAACTACTGTTCACAAAGCAGAATACAAAAATTGTATGGGGTCTGTCTAATTCCTTATAGATAGTAGCAGTAATTTTAAAAATGAGTTTGCAATGCAAGAGTGTGAAGACATTTCTTACATTCATAGGAAGTTGTGGGGGTCTTGGACCACTGATTGCATTTGTAGCTGGTCTAATCTGCTGAAGAGGTGGACGAACCAATCGGTTTTGAGGCTGTTGCCCTGAATTAGAATTGCCAGGGAGGCGTGGAGCATGCTGTTGAGTTCTTGGTTGAAAACCTTGTGCATGACCCATCGCATTTGGCACTTGGTGACTATTATTATTATTATTGCTGGTCATATTTGGTCTTATCTGTCTCTTATTTAATACTGGTTGAGGCTGTGAGCTGTGATGTTGAGATTCAGTTGAAAGTCCTGCGTGCCCTGCTGGTTCACTGTACATGTTAGATGGGGGCACACCTGACTGGGAAATATGCTGGTCTTGCTGAGATACATTCTGATTGTATTGTGATGGCTGATAAGATTGATGATGATGCTTGGTTAGTGGTGACTGGGGGTGAACTGTGTCTCTTTGCTGGCTGTCAGGTGAAGGCTGTGGGGAGCTGCCTTGAGGGCTCTGAGTTGAAGTGGGCAAAAAGTCAGCCTGAAAGGAAATATTTTTTTAAACTAAACCTTCTCACAACTAAAGTGACTGATCCAAGAACAAAATAACATCGTGTAGGATCATCAAAATAAAAAAAAAGTAAACTACAGGGGACCCTCAATATTCATCATAAATCAGTTCCCGAGGAAAGGAAAAAGTTTTCAAATGATAGATATCAAATAAATTTTTCACAAAGAAATTAACTAAAAATGGTTTTTAACCGTTCCCAAATTTTGCCATTCTATTCTTTAGCCAAAAAAAGGGACTAAACTCTAAAATTAACCAAAAAATAAAACATAAAACTAAATTTAAAAAATTTTTAAAACTCTGGTTCCAGAACACCATGGTCACGTATTTCTGTGATAAATATCTACAAAAACGCATGAAAATTGAAAAGAAAAAAGTAAGTAAACATGAGTTAATGCACACACTTTGAATCATCACTTGAGACTGACTGGCTTATGTGGCAGCCGGGACAACGTCGAGCTTTGGGTGAATATGGCACAAAAATTTCAAAGAAAAAACAGGATCAATGTTAAAAAAAAAGAGACTATCAACATGGATATTGAGGGTCCACTGTATCTTTTTTTATTTAAAATGTATTCTCCCCTGTATATCTGTTTTTTTACATTCCTATGAAAAAAAAAAGGTGTCATATGTCAGATTTTTGTAATCCTCACCTTCATGAATATGCCACAGTAACTGCTATCCATGTTATCTAATGATGAGGAAAAAAGTTATCTACTTAAACCTTTAGTACTGACTCGTTTTAAGTATAATAGCATTAACAAGTACAAGGTTTAATGCTTAGTACAAATCAACAATATATTTTAATTAAGACCTCCAAAAAAGGGCTTCCAAAAACAAAGGACTAGCAACAGAAAACTCTCCTGAAAAACAATAGCCAGAGATAAGCAAATAAAGAGACTCATTCTCTTTGTCAGTTAGATTTAAGATTTTTTTGACAGTAATTATATCTACCATGTTTCAAAAGTTATCATTTAATATCCTCCTTTGCCATTATTTCTCAATTGATGAATTCAAGAAAAAACTTCTTTATATCATGGACACATGGATGTAGAAGTTCCTCCTGTCATTGCAGATAGTTTTATAGCTAAGTGTATTTTTAACACTTAAGAAATTTAAGTCCTATTAAAAATATGTACACAAATTTACTTGTATATAGAAATGAAAGTTCTCTAGCCATGTAGAAGGATTTCTAATTTTTTTATTTTGAATAAGGGGAAAGCATAGAGAAATCAAGGGGTCATGATTTCTGGGTAAAACTTTTAATTTATTGTCATTTATTCAAGAAAATAAAAATTCATTTACCATTTAAGTTTAACTATTAACCATTACATTATCTGGCAAGTCTTTTTGCAGTGACCTACTTTTTACCTGTGGCCCCAGCGCGTCTTTTTTCACCAGCCGATTTTTTTTCCTGTGGCCCAAGCGGGTCTATTTGCCACATAGAGGGGTATCTAATATAAACACAAAAACGGGGATATAACCTTTCACCATAGTCTCGGGCAGAATGTTTATTCCTTAGGGGAGTAGTCGAATTTTATTTTGCCTTTTAAATTATGAAAATCAACCAATTACAGAGATTTTTGTGCTCATCTGTATTTGTTGTTTCGATGGCGCTACCTAGCGATATTGTTGATGACGACTTTCGCCCACTTGATGAAACCTTTTGTTCTGAAACTACTATTGAGCTTTAATTGGGATAGGATGATTCTAATGCTGATGAGGGAGAGGGGGGTGAAATTGTTTAATGAAATAGACCTACTATACTTCTAAATTTACGCCTACGGGAGCCTGTAGGTTTGACATGTTTTAGACTAGTGTCAATGTAGATATTGATTTAGTAAGATCGACTGGACACTGTGCTAGCCACACAATCCCCTACTGTGATGTTGCCAATGAAAAGTTTGAACAAAACACTTTAGGTATTTTTAACACCCTTATCCATTTCTGAACAGATAATTCTCTACATGTTATTATCAATTGTTTAAAACAAAATAGTTACAAAATAATTTGCAAAACTATCAAATTTTGGCTCATTCCAAAATAATGTCTGGGCCACAGGGAATAATTAGCCAAATAATAGCCGGTACTGAGGCTATACATAGCTAAAAGTAGGTCGGTACCAGAAGGGTTAATTAACTTATTAAACTGAAGAATTGTATGAAATTTCGTAGCTGAACAATATTAGACAACTGGTTTTCTCTTTTTTAGAAAAATGACTATCTCTTCCTCAAATATTCCCTAAGTATATTTCTTGAAACTTAAATAATTACTTTACCTGCAGATCTTGAGAAAAGCCAGAAGTTATGTTATGACTCAATCCATCCCCCACTCCAATGCTCGCTTTTATTGCATCACTCCATTCTTGATCAGCAGACATATCTGCTCCTTATCAGACAACTATAACATCTGTAAACAAAACACACAAAAATGGAATTTTGAATGTAGATGCCTTTCAGAGCTACATTATGAATAAAATAATCATTGTTTAAACTGCAAACCATTAACAAATTGAATTTTAAATTGAACTCATTAACAAGTGAGAGCAAAAGTTTTAAAAAATAGTTTCTGTCTATAAGCTTTGTGCAGAAAATTGATTATAAATCTATTGAAATAGTACTGTACCAAGTCCTCATTTCAATTATTTTGAAATATTTTATCAAAACAATCATTTTGGTATTAATTTTATAATTTGATGAGTTTGCCATGTTCTTTTGTATTTTCTTACATATACCCTCATTTGTGGGTGAGAGAGAGTGGGATGCGGGGGGTGGGTGGGCGGCAGCTTCTTGATCAGGATAGCCAAAGAGATAAGCTTATTCAAATTTATTCTAATGAGAATGCCTTTTTTTCTGTAAATAATACCGGCAACATTCATACATTTTTTTGTATTAAAAAAAAAACCCTTCTTTAATAAGTTGATCATTAGTACTGTTTTTACCAGGCCAGTACTGTTTTCAAAAAACTTTTTTTACAGGTTTGTTGCGAGCTGAAACTAGTAAAGCAAACACTACTAAAAATTGTTTAATTATTAACGTTTTAATTTATAAATCCAGGCATAAATAAAAGAAACAAATAAAATAAATATAATTGATCCAAATTAGCACCTCGATAATATTTTTTTTTCAAAAGAACGCCTCACTGACAGAAGAGCTCTGTTATTTTTTTTACACCCATTGCAGCAAAGCCATGCAAGTGCTTCTTAATGATAAGTTAGCCTCATTGACAGAAGAGCTCTCAGTGTAATCACAAATAATTGTTTAAATTTGGATACCCATAGTTCAAAACGATTTTAATTGTCATGATTTCAAATTTGAACATTTTTAAATATCCTGGTTTTTATTTTTTTATATGGTCAATTTATTCTTTACTTATGCTTCAGATACTAACCATTCAAATCTTATTTAACTTCACCCATTCTTTCTAAATGTCTAGCCCAGTAGCCTGCCCTTTTTTAAAATTTCTGCTACTAGTTTGGGATCCTGATATAGACTATACTGTTCTGGTTGGTTCGTATTCTCCATCCAAATTCATCCTTTGTTGATCTGTATATTTTCCGGAGTACTTTTTCTTCCAAGTTTCACTTGTGTATATGCTACAAATGGTCTGATTACATTTTTAAATATAGTTTTCTTTGTTTTTCTTGTAATGTTTTAACTTTTGAGTATGAAGTGACGACTGAAGTATGCTCTGTTTCAAGTCGATATTCTTTCTTTTGTTTCTGTAATTCATTCATTTCTTTCATTTAATAAAGATCCTAGTTATTTGAATTGATTTACTTCTTCAAAAGGGTGGTTTCTAATTTTAATGGTTTCATCTCTGTGTTCTTCTCTTAACATAGTCATGTACTTTGTTTTTTGGTAGTTAACTTCCAGTCCTGCTTGTAGTGATGCTTCTTCTAATTCAATAAAACCTATTGATATATCTTCTTCACTACTCTTCCATAACAGTACTACGTCATCAGCACATGCAAGATGCTGAAGGGGCTGGTTGTGGAGAGTGCCTTTTGGTTGTGAGTCTTGGGTTTCCCTCAGAAAGTTTCCTGTTATTGTTCCTCGGGTGTCAATATGTATGCTACTTATAAATCTCTCCAATGTTAGGTTAAATAGCATACAAGACAGTGAGTCTCCTTATCTTGGGCCTCGTTTAATCTGAAATTCCCTTGACTATTCAACCTGATTTTGATTTTCAGTTGTTTAATTTTATATGTAACAGTCTTGTCAGTTTGTTGGGTATGCCAAACTCCTGCAGAGTGTCATATAGTAGTTTGTGCATTAAAATTTGGAACCTTTCTTGTGTACATGGGTTATTAGCGCCGTTTCCCAATTTGTTGTAATATTCACTTTTAGCCTTAATAAAATTATTATTTACACCCAATTATTAATGCTTGCCATGGCTTAATAAATGCCAAATTTACAATCAGCTGAATCATAATCATTATTATCTAGGTATTACATAAGGGGTCTAGGCTAAACATTATTATTAGATTAATATTAATGATTTAATTTAAATTAGATTATTACTAATTATTTCTATTATATTATCTTTTTTTCTTCTTTAAAATGCTATTTATTATTTATAGTATAGGCCTAGACCAGAAATCCCAACCATTATTCCTGTTCTGCACCCCTAGGTCTTCCCGAGAATTCGGCCATTCACCACAAGTAATAACTTTCAAAAATATACATTAAAATTAAAACACTTTATTCAATATTTATTGTTCTTTGTTAAATGTTTGTATTGGATTCATTTCTGTTGAGTTTAACTGCTTGGTAGAGGCTTATTAAATGTCCCTTTTGTAGCAACATAGTTTAAATCATATTTACATGCCCACATTCACATATTATACTAAGACTAAGAGCTTTTCCTTACAAGATCCATTTTAAAGCGCCCCTTTTTCTTTTTTTTTCAACTCTCAAACCCATTATTTTCATCAATAAAATAATATCGAAGCACATTTTGGCGCCCCTAACTAG